TAATCATAAAACAATTAACTCTAAGTACATTTTATTCGCTTGTTATTTTATAATAAAATACAATTAACTAAAAGCTTTTCTAACAATGTCTAGTATTTTGAAAGTCTTTGATACTTAAATATCATCTTCATAGTCATGTCTTATTTCATGCCTAGATAAAAATGGTTTAATACTGTAGCTTTTAAACAACTTGAAATTAAATGTTTATCAATTAAATTCCCAAGAGTAAAATAGATTTGATTCTCTTCATTTAATGATATGAACAAGCTATATTCATAATCATTTTGATGACAAACTATAATTAAATAAGTTTTAGTATTTGATTATTATCAGATTAATGTCTATTAAATTTCATTATGAAATCTGTAATATCATTTATAGTCTTTGAGATAATCAGATTAAGTATCTAATTTTATATCAATACTGTATTATTTGATCAACAAACGTTATATAAATACTGAGAATTAAATGAAACAGTAAATGATCCTTTTTAAGAATCTCATCAATTAATTGTGATTTTAATAACGATATGTTATTGTGTGTGACCATAGTGAACTATTATTAAGCAAATTATATATATATATATATATATATATATATATATATATATATATATAATCATTATTGCTTATTCGCATACCCAAATCGTTCTCACTAAAACAATCCTATCTTCAAGAAAGTATCAAACAAATGAATATAATTTAATATTTTTCCTTTAGAAAAATCTAGAAATAACGTTTTATTTCAAGATTAACTAGTTTTCGGCGTCGACTGACAATATATCAGTAGTAACGATTTGTGAAGTTTTATAAAGTATAGTTTACATATTAAACGGATGAACGTAATATCCTATAAGTAGGCTATGTGACCGATTGTTTCAAGATAACAGTTCTTCTTTTTTTTACTACAATTTTCACTTTGTACTATCAAATGTTTAAAGAAAAATACTTTTTTTGCCTTATTGATATAAGTTTTATTAACTGATTTGAAGAATTTACGTACTTATTTCTATTTTCTATAGACATTTTGATTGCTTTTTAGGTTTACACTACGCTAAGTTCCTCTTATGAAGCTCTAAATATATATGTTCATGTAGAAAGTTTTGAAGTGGGATTTTCATTGAATCGAAATAAGTGAGTGCTTATCAATGAACGCTATGCAGTGATACGAAGTGTGTTTAACTAATGGCTGTCCACAAAATCAAATTATTGTCTTTATCTCCAAATTTATTTGAGATTAAAGACAAGAACAGTAGACGGAAAAAGAGGTTTATTATAATAAGTAACATACCTTTATGCAACTAATTAACGAAAAATGTATATGAATAATTGTCAAAAAAGACTGAACATTATCAATTCCTTAATAATATATGTATATACATATATATATTCTGAAAATAATAATTACAGAATACATGCCATCTTACAGGTATGATCAATTTGATATAAATAGTAACATTAGATATAGAGAACAAACATGTGATAGAAGAAAGTTTTGAGTTTGTTAATTCAGTAATTGTTCAGGCAGTACATGTATTACAGTGATCCAATGCATCAGCCAGGAGTTTTTAATATTTCTTAGATGAACAGCCTGTTGATTTATGAACGGTGTAATTAAGGTTATTTCGTGTGCCAGATCCAATTAAAGATAATTATCTACAACTAGAGAAATTAAAACAAAAACAGAGAGCACGGAACAACAAAGCAGTAATTACCAAAATATGTCAATCAGGTCTACCGAAAGACATGTGTCATGTGACACAGTGATATACTGCTGATGTCAAATGTTACTCAAATTAGTTAAAGCTGCTAGGGACGGAGTTAACATAAAGTGACAGTAAGTAGGTGGTTTTAATTAGGGAATTCACTAATAATAATGGCTGAACATTTAAAAGTCCTATAATATCACTTGTGGAATGAGGTACACTTACAGATGTTAGGACAGTCAATGCATTTTCAGAGGAGCAATATACAACAATGCGGCAAACAAATAATGGGAGTGATTTTATCTAACGGATAGATTGTGGTAGATTGTTCTAGAGGCTAGAAAATTTACAGGTCACTCATTCTAGGAACAATTAGGTTTTAACTGTTAAGCTTAATTTTTATTCATCATGTTATAGAAACATTGATCGATTTAGGTTCAATTCTATATGAAGCTGAATAAATTGTCTTTGATGGTTCTAAATTTCGAAAAACTAACTACTATTTGCATTATATGTAAAGTTAGCTGGTGGTTGGCAGTGGAATCCAAGACGCGAGATTCGTCCTATTTAGAACTCATAAGTCAATAACTCTAGGATCGAACAAAAAATTTATCTTGAGTTCCACTGAAAACCGCGTTTCATTTACTTTATTTTGACTTGTACATAGTAATACTATCGAGTCAATCCACTGAGGATGCTCACATGACAAAAAAGAATGATCACTTTTAATCCTAAACACAAATGGGATGATTCAAAAAACCAATACAAAGGAACTATTATATTCCGCTTGATGTTTACTGGTCATTCGGTCTTAATTGGACAATTGTGACAGTTCTCAACAATATAAACTAACTGAATGATAAAAAAACCAAAATACTTGTTTAACTAGCTATTGAATGTGTTATGATTTCAAACAACAAAATCTAAATTTGGGTCAGTAAATGTTATTAAATTCCATGCATAAAATAGTTATAACAGGTTGATGAAAGATCATCATAACTTATGACTGCACAACTTTCATAAATGAAAAGGAAATTACCAATGATAAATCATAAGGTTGATGAAGTACTTTATACATGAAATGACGAGTAACGATGCATAGATAATTATTTATGACCTTATGAGTTTTCATACTATTCATGATAAACATTTTAAATCATTCAATTGTTAATGTAGCTCAATTTAATTCTGTTTCAAATTTGAAAAGTTTTTTGTTTCAATAATCTTGTAGCTCACATCAGTATTCATTTTAAATGTGTAACTTAAGTGATATCATTAAAATATTGATCCAAATATTAAAAATTATTTTCTGATCAGTCATCATATCTTATCACCATAGTGATTAGATCAACGATTTGGCATTTGTAGGTTAATTTAACATTTATATTTTATAACAAATTAATCAGTGTATTGTATTGAATTTGGAAACTCCAAAATTTAATATTTCTGTTATCATGATTTCCTTTATCTCGTTCAAAGAATCATTTTCCATATAAGTTATTAAATGAACATGGTTTGATGAATTACAGTTCATTAGTCTATATATACAAAACAATCTGATTGCGATTAAATGGTCAGTATGAGGATTCGAAAAAATCAATTAGTGTTCGTTGTAAAAAGAGAAATTTCAATCAGTAATGAAATTCAATCAATTATATTTACATAGATGTCATGCTAATTTAAAAGCAGTTAAGAAAAACCATTCATTCAAGCTTAAACTAGTAAGATTATTTATCAGTTAATCAGTTATGCTCAAAGGTCATTTATATCTCTTGTACTTCAGAAATAGCTAGATAGAAACTACAGAACATGTACTTTAGCTAAACAACATCAGAAAAATGTATACTACTTATCTTTATATTTTGAAGCGTCTAATAAACCTTGCAACCAATAGTCATGTGATGATTTACGTAATGTATGAGGATCATTAGACTAATAATTCACTTTCATTGGTTTCAGATGAAGATACGTATATTAAAATTCATAACTGTTTATTGATGGGGCAAGTCAAAGGAAACCTAAAATGAAATTTGTCAAACTACTCAAATTAGACCTCATTACTTATTTAGGCTTGTTATACATTGACGAGTGTAGGTCAATGACTAATAAATATCCAACCTAAATACTTAGACAAAATTTAATATATAAGAATGGATGTATCAATACTGAGCATTTAAACATGAATTTAATATTGTTAAAGTTTTCACATTGTGCCTTTATCTCACCCGCCAAAAAATCAAGTACTTTGCTAACCTGTCTACGTAATAATAAACTTATCCATGCAGATTTATTTTATATATCCATTAAAACTTTATTTATATAACTGAATTGTTAATCAAATTTCATAATAATATAAACGATTAGTGAATATGGCAACAATCAGTTAAATTTATTACTTTCTATTTTTGGAATTCATTAATATGAGGAAATCTTAAAAATCTAGAGAATAACAACTTTAATTATGAATAGCATTTTATGATTGAATTTTCCATTGATAAATAAGAATATTGAATTTATAACAAAAAAAGCAAAACAAAACTTTTAACTTATCCCATACAAGGACGAAACAACCATCCAATGTTTTCAGATTTTCTATGATGCTCTAGCTTCAATTTGTCAGTAAATTAATCTAAAAAATATAGTTTAGTATATTCTTATCAATAAAGTGACATGTAAATAATGAACATTAATTCTTTAACACTATATCTTAGGTTTATCAATATTTTATCATATCTTGATAAATGAATTATATCTAAGATTATTATTTAATAAACTATTTACCTTATCAACTCTCTATAACCCATTTTATTTGCATTCTAATTCATGTTTTAAAAACATTATTCTTTCCTGTAATTTTATCAAGTAGTTACTTAGGACATGTTATATTTCATTAAAGTCATATAAAACGGAAGAATAGAAACAAGAAAAAAAAAGAAATAAAAAGAAATGAAAATAAACTAATGGTTATAACGAAAATAGATTGTTATCTAAATTCATTTAAGAAGCTTTACTTTTGATTGGTTAAAATGATAACCAATCAAAAAATAGTAAAATCGTTTGTTTTTATTAAAACAATTCATTTTGATTGAATTCATTTAAACAAAAGAGAAATAATCTTTATCATGGTTTATTCTAATAAAATTATAAAAATAAAAAAAATTATTATACAATTTCTACAAATAATTTAACTAATTTCTATTGATGATTGTATTACATCATTTCATTATTATAATAAATGTATATTTATTCATTCTATATAAAAATGTATATACCAATGATCATCTTGTCTATTCAGGAGCTTGTAGTCAATATGATTCAAATTTTTGTTCAAGACAAGTAGAAAATAGTGTTTGTAATTATGAGAAAAATGAATGTTTTTGTCGGAAAGGATTTGTTGCAATTCGTGAAAATGGTCGAGTAACATGTAAAACATGTAAGTATACTTTTCTTATGTAGAATAAAGGATAAACGATCTTTTATTTTCTTTAAAGAAAGTTTAGAATATTCAATATCTAAGAAATATTTATTGAATTTTATTTTATTTAGACTACTACGTAGTTTTATAAGTAACAAAATAAAATCTCTTAAGTTTCAATAGATATAATTACTAACTTATTTAAGTCTGTGACTCCCAGTCGAGCATAGGCCGCCGAGCAGCATTCTAAAACGTACTCTGTCCTGGGTTTTCCTTTCTAGTTCTATCCAATTGTTATTCATTCTTTTCATGCTTGTTTCCATTTTTCGACCTAATGTGTTCATTGTTCTTCCTCGTCCCCTTTGGCCTTGAGGATAGCAATAGATATACATGTTTTTTTAATATTGTCAAATCGATACAGAACCCTGTCAAAATAAACTGATATTTCTTTACATAAAGCGTATCGTACATCAAGAAAATAAAAATAAAAAAATAATAAAATGGTTGCTTTGTGATCACATAATACGCAACCGATTAATTTCGAAATCAGGCATCGTCCTACAATGTTAAGTCACGGTCGATGGACTTTATTTCAAATTTATCTAGATATCAGTTATTTGTGTGTTCATAATCACCAAAAGTATCTTTAACGTTATTGATCACGTTTATTTGTATCGACCTGAATGTTTTTCTCCCTCGGGTTAGTGCTAAAGAAAATACAATTAAGGTATACACACCTTCTTCATACTGTCTGACGTTACTTAGTCAAACACTAGATGTACAGTGCATTACATATATTTTCCTTCTTGTCATGGCACTCCTCAATTAGAACATCTTGCCACCTCAATAAACAAAATTCTTCAATTTATTGGGAAAAGTAACAATTTTCCAGTCACAGTAATTTGTGAAGTATTTAATATACTTCTTGACATATCTTACTTTTGATTTTATCATTAAATTGTTATGATTTCATTAAGGTTATTTACTAAACCCATCACAATACGGAAAAAATAGCACAGTAAACTTAACACTAGTAATAGGTTGATTATAAATAAAGAAACCTCTTTTCATTCAACTCTTTGGAGTTTTCAATAATATGAAATGATGTAATTAATTACCAAAATATACTTGTACAGGGATAACAAGTAATAAATGTAACATTTACAAAGTTTGATGAAAGTTTCATTTGTTTTTCTAATTAGTCATTCTAAAGTGGTTATTTTTTCAAAATATGTCTTTATTTAAAATGTAAAGAGGTCAGGTGGAATGACTCCGCCTGTGCCACTTCTAGAGTTATTGCCGGTCCCAAGCCCGGGCAAAGGAGGAGGGTTTGATATGCGGTTAGCGAACCCATCCCTTAGATAAGTAACTCGCTAAAAAAACGCTAACCAGAATGACAGCTAATTTGGTTTACTTTCATTATTACATAATTAATTCATATTGATTCTTGATAGAATATTTGATCTGATTCTTTATTCACACTATATTACAGGTACTTTTAATTACTTGTTTCTCTATTTTAATCATTTTATAATTTCAACTAAGTATACATTATGTACTGATCATTTAGAAATTTACAAGTGATAACAAATATACTTTCTCAGCAATACGAGATTCAGTTTTTGTACAAATAGTGTGTGGATCTTAAAATCCCTTATTGTTTATGAAAATTATTTTGGACTCGGTTTTAGTAGCATTTTATAACTTACCAGAAAGAATCTCACTGATTCATATTCGAATTTTAATTACGAAATTATATCTTTTCTTTTATTTCATATGTGAATATGAGGGTTTTATTCACCTGACATAAATTCAGTGAATAAAACGAAAGTATTATCATCATCATCCTCAATAGATTGTTGGGATCAAATTGAGATCACAAACCGATCAGTGTTAAAACACTAATGAAAAACTGAAAGTACTGTACGGCTGTTTCGTCCAAGTATGAGACTCTTTAGTAGCACGCATCTACGACCCTGCAAGCAGGACTCGGATACAGCGTCGTTTGTCTCGTTTGCGAATCCTTAACTTTTAGACCACTGAGCCAGCATTCGACGGTGTTAATGTCTAACCTATATACTTATATTTCAAAGTGAACTAGTTTTGTGTAATTTGTAATCGCCATTTGTATTTTGATTTATGTGACACCTGGAACAAAACTGATTTTTTGAATAATTAATCTGAAATCTATTGTTAAGATTTGTACATTCATGAGAAAAATTAACTCAAAGAGTTGAACTTATCATTTAGAAGTCAATCAACAATATATATTGAAACTAGAAGTATGTGGCTGCCTGTTGCTTGGAACGATAAATTTGAACTTTATTAGTAAAATGAAACTTTGAAAGGTAATGACAGTAATGTTAAAGTCTGCTCGAAATGTAAAAGACAAACAAGGCTGTTGAGCTTATCAACATATGTGTGATGTGTAACCACGTACCGTATGATAGCAGGCAAATGTTTAAAAGCATAGCTATTGGAATAAAGAATATGCGAGCATTGAATTTGGAGCATATTATAATTACATATACCATTTTTCTATTTTCATACTGTAGAATTATTTCACTCTGAAAGTCCTTACAATCCTAGAAAACGTGTTATTTTTGATAGGTTGATATTGATATACGATTATTATCAGGATTAACACAACTCTATGGATCTAAAAACTCTGGAAAGGTATGGTGCATTGCTTTGAAGTTGTTTTGTCCATAATATTCTCAGAGAAAATTTACTGTCTCATTGATGAAATTACTGTGAAATTATGTCTGTGAAGTCTATTAGTTATTTTCAATGCATTCTATCTGGTATAGAACACATTTAAATTCTCTTTAGTCTTGGATCCCGTTGACATCAAAAATACTGATAAACTAACTTGAACGGCAGATCTTACTTTTGACTATTTTAAGTAAATCTGCATCATAAACAAAAAGAATAAGTATTATTTTCAGTCTCAAGTATCTGCTTTTCGAATTCATAATTGAAGTTTTAAAAATGGAGATATTCATAAATCGGATTTTAATGGATATATTAATTTCTAATCCGTTTATTTTCTCAGTGCTGACCGATTTAAAATGTCGGGTAGATCGTGACTGTGTTCATGTGAATCGAAGCAGTTGTCATCCTGGTGCCGGTTACTGTTCATGTCCTGGAAATACCATATACGTTCCTGAAAAACACGCTTGCAGTAAGTATGATAAACGTAAATTAAATTCTATGAAACTTTATAGTAGTATTTTCTTTAGATGTCATATCATTTATAGTGTTTCCAATAAAATCTAAATTTGGCCAAGTAACCACTGCTATTTAACGTGACAGTTAAATGCTTGATTTCAAGAAGTAGGTGTGTGTGAAATTTGACTCTCAATATTTATGAAATCTTTAAATCATAAAAAACATTAGTGTTGAAAAGTTAATGAAATACCATGATATGTGCCATATTACATAATCCACTATTGTTAACATATTTATTTATAATTTCAAACCTGGTGAATATCATAGAGTTTAGAACACGTGCCATATTTTTCACTAGGAACTCCTGAAAAAAATGCCTATACGATTAATCTAAGTCTTTAAATAAGTTTATACTGTGAAACATTCATCTCTGAACTGATTAATAGGTTTGCGTTTAGTTGATGTGAAACTTGGAGAAAACATGAGTTGAACACAGTTGCCATGTAATAATCACACATGAATGGGGAGCCTAAGCTTAAAATGAAACATTCATGTTATAGTCTTTAATTTACTAAAGTTATATAACTAGTATCATTTTGTGCTGTAAATAGTACTTTGTGTTATCCAATTTAGAAATTCCTTTGATACTTTCTTAAATGTTTTTACAAATATAGCTGAGTAACTTTTGCTTTTTGAGTTGATGGGCTTACTGAATCAAAAATACACTATTACGTCTAGTGAAATTACTTAACTTCTGATGGTTCTTTTAAATATGTTCATACTAAATACGGTAAAACCTCATTTTAATACGCAAATGTTTGGATGAATAAGCTTTTAACATGAACTAGTAAATTGCTCACCCCTAATAGAATCAGTAACTCAAAACACGACAGTTACTGATTATTGATCTATTCAGTACTGATTTACTACTTAGCCATTTACATTTTAGACGCACAAGTGAAATGTTCTATTATAATCCCTAAAATTTAGTGCGCTACTAGCTTTTCATTAAAAAATCTCTGATCTGAATCCTTTCAAGTCAGTTGCATTCCGTTTTCAATATAATCTAAGACAAATGAAATGAATTATTTATTTAATTGCTAAAAGAGAGTTTATTATCTTTATTTTCAAAAATTAACGAAACTTTAAATGATAGATACACCATAATAATTTTGAACAGCAAATCATACACCCATTGAAATATAACTATGAGGCAACAAATATTTGTTTCATTTCGCGATATGAATCTACAATTTTGAGAAGATAATGTTTCTAATTCATCATATTCTACTAATGACTTCTAAAATATGACAAATGTTAACAATACTGGTCAATTTAATTGTTCACAACTTAAAGAGGAAATTCATACAAAAAACCAAATCACTTAAACCACTTCACACTCGGAATCAGCAGGTTAATTATGTTAGTGGAGCTCACGCAATTGCTTTTTTTTAGATTTTTGACCTAATATTGTTCAACAACTTAAAAGGGCAATCTAAACAAAAATAATAAGAGACTAAAATGATAATTATACTGTTATAATATATATATATCTATATCTATCTATCTATCTATCTATCTATCTATAAATATATATATATATATATATATATATTGTTGCTACATTTATGATCGTTATCAAGTGGCTGAGTTACAGGAATCAGAAGACTATATTAAAATATCAACATTGCACGCCACAGTATAATTGGTTTATAGGACAAGTACTTTCACTGTATGAATGAATATAATGTGCTGAGGAACAATCCAAATTTTGTTTGATTTAAACATCTCATAAAATGTAACTATAGTTTTTTTTCTTTTTTCGAATATAGGGTCACGTTTTACCTATCCCAGTGATCCATTTTGTGATGTATGCCTTCAGTTGAAAGGAACTTGTTTTAAATATGAATTATTTGAAAGAGTTACAACAGAAAAAAGGTAAATAACATAAGACAATTTTATTCACAATAGTGTTTATTTTTTCTTATATCGAGTATTTTTACAAAGAATATTAATTCTTGATTCTCAAAATGAGAGTATAGGCGGGACTCTAATTTATGGACGACGTTTGAACGAATCTTAAGTGACCTTGTGAAATATTAGTCAATCAGCAAACAGTCAGTATAGAGTAAAAATATATTATGAAAAACCAAAGAAATAAAGTGGATACACTTCGCATACATGGTTCAAAAATTTTTCAGGGTTAGAAAGAGGTTCAGAGGTTCTAAAATCGTAAGGCATGCAGTAGGGTAAATCATTAATATGGCTACAGAATAGTCGGCTTTGGGAGCCATGATAAGGTTGCAAAAACTTTTTCAGCCTCGACCACATACCTTCAATATTGTTTGTGTGCAGTTCGTTTGTTAGTCCCAAAAATGCCACTTATGGATAACGACACGATGCACATAACCAAGTCTACGTAGGAGTCTGTACGCTCTCCAATCATCCGCATATATTGCACCACCTTGCTGCAACCAGTGTTACTGGTGCTTTTATTATCCAGTTCAAGATAATTGTCGTAATTTGGCTTAGTTAAGAATTGTATGTGAGGTCTTCATCACGAATCGACATCAGCTATAATGCCAAAACTCTATTTAGCCAAATGGATGAAAGAGTTTCGCTTCAGAATCCGAGATCTATTATCTTATACCTGATTGGTTCGTCCACAAATTATAGTCCCGCCGTTTTATTTGTAATAGCCGCTTAATTATCACTTTTTGTACAAAATTCCCTGCGAACCGATCGTATGTTAGCACTAAGCACTGAAGTTGGCACTGTACCCTTGAAATCTCTGAAACGCCTCTGATTGGCTCGTCCATAAATTAAAGTCTTGCCAAAGTATGTTATGTAACATAGTTATTTATATTCTGTTTTATGAATGTCATGATTATTTGCATGTTCATGGTGATCCCATTAAAACAATAAAACTTTATCTGTTGGTGTTTTAACATATGTTCTTTGTTTACACAAAAATAGCATAAGTGAATTGATTCTACTGTTAACGAAGCTAGTTTATTTGAACAAACTTGAACAGTTATATTTTTCATAGCTCAATTATAGTTTTATATTTTCCTAGAAATGAAAATGTTTTTTGAACATTATAGTCAAATTATTGATAGTGTTGACTATATATCTTAACCTTGTGTCATACAAACATGGAAATCAATAAATTATATATATATATATATATATATATATATATATATATATATATATATATATATATATATATATATATATATATATATCCAAACTTAGGATATGTTTCATTATTAAGAGAATTGTAGATATGAACTAGAAGTAAATTTCTATATTCACTTACCTAGGCAACTTATTCAATTTAACGTTGATAGACTATTCAAAATTAAAGTTCAAGTTTATTTTCATAATATTTATTGGAGTATCAATGAAGATGATTAGTCTACTTTGAATTTAATACTTCATCTACCTACAATCAAAGTTGACTAGTTTTCTTTGTTCTTTTTTCTTTAATAAATATTATTTTTCAATGGTTGAAATCATGAGTCCATTGAAGCTAGATCACCATGGAAAACATGGTTAAGCGCTTGCGCGCAAGACTGATAAGTCCTTAGTTCGAATCTTGAGGGGAGCGAAATCGTGGATGCGCACCACTGTGGAATCCCATACTAGAACGAAGCGGCCGTTCAGTACTTCTAGGTTTTCCATAGTGGTCTACCTTCAATCGACTCATGATTTCAACTATTTAACTCTCTAAATCTCCACATAACCCCTTCTGAGTATATTAGTTTTCTTTAAAATATTGGTAATGACCTAATTTTAATTAATCTTAATCTTCATATATAATGTAAAGTGTTTATTTATTTATTTTTAATTTCTCATAGTGAAAACATAAGATAAGTAACACCTATGTAATAAGAATTCAATAAAATTAAGGAAGAATCTGATTAGTATATAGTTGACCTTTAAACAAAACAAAAAATATAATGAAAGTTCAATACTTAAGCAAAAAATTTATAATCGAAATGTTAGTTTATCTGAGTTTATAAATAAGTTAAGTAGATATAATTATGATGATACATATAATCATGTTAAACTTGTTTTGTATTTTCTACTTAAAGAATAATGAAATTTATACTTGATTCATTAACCAAGATCAAAATTTAAAAAAAAACAACTTTTCTATTCATTCTCACTTTATCATAGACCATAGATCATTCATGCAGGATCGTGAATACACACTGTTGAGGAGTTCAGTACTTTTAGGTTTTGAATAATGATCTAGTTTAAATCAACACATAAATTCAACTATTAAAATTACTACAATCTCCACAGATCTTAATTTTGATCATTATAAATATGATAAGAAAGATATTGACAGTGATTGATCACTGAGTAGTGAATAATATGTGTGTTCAGTGTTTAGTATTGGTTGGATTCTATAGATCAAGTTACAATGTAACCATTAGTCTAAGTGACCCGACATTAAATGGATTGTGTAAGCTATTAGTTCAGAATGAATATATTTCAATGACTTAAATTTTACCAATCAATTTCTAGATAAGATCAATATATTCCTTGAAAAGTAAACAGTAAATAGTTTATTTTAAAAAAAGAATATGATTAATTGTTATTCAATATTATGCCCTTCTTAGATATGTTGATTAATAAAACCGATAAAGAAAATCTTGAAGCTTGAGTATGTTGGAAGCTCGAATAGACTTACTAGTTCATGAATAACAATATTAATAGCTTATTTGTTACAAAAACAATAAAACATCTAATTGAATATGAATACACAAATAATACTTAGTAAGACTATGAAGTGAAAAACGTTATATTGTGCTTGATATATGACAAGAGCTTGAGCGATACAAAATAAAAATTATCTACCATAATAAAATACTTTTAATTCAAGAGCAAACAAACTGTTCAGTATTTCTTTTAACTTCAAACTGTAACAAATCTAGTCACGGTTAAGAAAAAAAAAACAATACAGTTAGGTCAATACAAAATGGATGCAAAATTTAGAGGAAGGTGAGATTGTTTGACAAAATTTTGTACTGAACACTTGTCACAAGGATTTTGATAATGTGAAGAATATGATACAGTTAAACTGTATAATTAGGAGTGATAGTATTTTACAGAACAGCATTTACATCAAAGTATACAATGTACCAGTTACCTGTTGGAGACGTTAGATCCCCAAAACTCATTTGGAAAATGACCAGATTTGTAATTTTATTTAGAAAATTTGAATTTCTTTGTTTTCGTGCCAAAAGAGCTCTTGTCACCTTCATGTCGTATTTTCCACTGGGAAGTATCTTAAATGCTATTGGTCCGTTGCATCTTTTAGTATGCTATTTGGTAACTCTCTCCAAGGACGGTTTTGTACTGTATATGTACGTTTTGAGTTGTGTTCGTTGTTATCACTCGTTTCTGGTTGTTTGCAAAATATACTTCCCATTCCAAGCTTGGACATCTTCCTCTAATTAGCGTGGCTGGGACGCATCAAATAGCTAGCTTACTGGTCTTTGGTCACTGAATCTTTGTTCTCGTTCGCAGATTAAGTGAACTCGTGATAGCTTCAACGCCAGCATTATCACCCCTTTAAACAAAGCGTTGTCTCCAATATCCCGTGTTAAAAGAACATAATGCTTCTAGAAAATTGACATGGCTACGATTTAATGATCGTTTTGGGACAACGAATATCTCAGAGGGGGTAGCAGTTAAGAACAAAGATTTTCTCTGCTAGAAGACTAAGAATTCATTTTGTGAATGAATAATGTAGAGAAATACGGTTCTAATCTATTCACAAGGTACCTATTGTTCAGTGCAACTAAAAAGAGGTAAAAATAGATAGAATGTGAGAAACAACGGCAATCACTGTGATAGATTCGTCGTCATATTGATGCTTGACTGTTTATTAATTTGCTAAGTTGGGTAGATTTTGTTGAAACTAACCAGCATATGTCTAAGTGTAGCTATATCATTACAGATGAGTCGGGGAAATAGAAAATTGAATAGTTGTTTACTATCAAAATATACACTGTGGACTTATTTCCATTTCCCCAAAAATTCCTACAGTTTAACGATTGCGACAAATAATACTCGGTTCTGAAAGTTCTCCAAAAATTTGTTCATTTTTTCTACCGACTCTTATCTCGCAAACACTGCAAAAAGCAAAATAATTTCATTATAGTATCATTTAATCGTTTTATTTGTCCTGTGGATAATTTGACGAGACTGTAATTTGTGAACGAACCGATCACGTTTAAGACAGCAGATCCTTGATTTCGCGTAACATTTACTTACTCGTTTAGCACAATACCATTTTGTAATATAGCTGATATCAATTCTTGATCAAAACATTAAATTTTACTCCTTACCCTGACGTTCATCTGCAAAATTTCAATCTATGAAAATGCGAAGAGGTAGGCTGTATAAACATCAATCGAACTACATCACTATATAATCAAATTTTCATTAAGTAATTGGGTCAGGTGTTGGACAGAATAAAAGAATCGGGTAAACATATTACTTCTGGACACAAAGCACCAGCTTTTTGATACAAATAGTTATTACTTAAGCCGTCTGAAAAATTCTTAGATTGACGGATTTAAGCAGACTGCTATTAACATGATAAATTACTGTAAATGATTGCCTAATTTTGGTTGTATGACACGTTTATACTAAATAAACTAAAATTGAGCCGTTAACATTTCTAACTATACCTTTGCATAATAATTTTTTATGATACACTGATATGTGATTCTAGATATTATCACCATAAATGAATATGATAACTTTAATAGTAGAAAATTGCAGATGACTTCTGGATCGCCGAATCCCATATTGAAAGTTTAACCCACGAAAAGCATTAAACCTGATCAACATTTGTACTCCATAGTAATCATCATATATTTTATAACAATTGTATTGTATATCAAGCAATAAGTAAAATAGTTATTAAGAATTAGTTATCACAACCAATTAAAACTATACAGGGGAAATTGTAGCAGTGATCATTTATCTGTTAACAGACCAAATATAACACTACTTACTTACACCTGTTACTCCTAATGGAGCATAGGCCGCCGACCGGCATTCTCCAACCCACTCTGTCCTGGGCCTTCCTTTATACTTCTATCCAATTTTTGTTCATTTTTCTCATGAATGTCTCCATTTCTCGGCGTAATATGTTCTTTGGTCTTCCTCATTTCCTTTGGCCTTCAGGACTCCATGTGGAGGCTTGCAAATATAACATTATAGATTATTTAATATTCATAAATAACTATAACAATCCATTAATATCAAATATTCAATATAGAAATAACAATGTTACTTTCATGTAAATTGTTAAATTAAGATATATGCATTTCATTCATAACAATGACAACAAAGAAACAATGTGTCCTGAATAATATTTTAACAAAATCTTTGTGTATATTTTCAGTGTACAATCTATTCAAAAGGAATTACTAATGAAAAGAATTTAGATTCAATTTGTCTTTCAATAATCATTGATTCTTAGTGATAAAATTTCAAAGAAATTATTGTTAATGAGATAAAGAATCAACAACATATGAACATTTCCTTTACTTGTTTAGTAAATCCAAACCGTGTTATTCAATTAAATAAGATCTTTTGTTAATCAGTATTATTTAATGGTCAGTGACATGATTTCTATCATCATTTCATCATTCATCATAAGGAATATTTCATGATTAGAAAAAAACTACTGATCATTATTAATTTCGATCATGTTCCTACAAAAGGTCAGTTTTAGTACTGTACTAGAGATTGACCAAAATGCAACAAGACAAGTATAGTTTAATAGTTGAGATCATGAGTTAATTGAAGTTAGACCACTATGGAAAGCCTGTAAGCACTGGATGACCGTTTCGTCCCATTGTGGGACTCCTCAGTAGTGCGTATCCACGATCCGTCCCCGCAGGATCCGAACCCAGGACCTATCGGTTTCGCGCGTGAGAGCTTAACCACTGGACGTGTATGCACACTGCTGAGGAGTTCCACAATAGGACGAAACGGTCATTCAGTGCTTACAGGTTTTCTATAGTGGTCTAGCTTCAACTAACTCATGATCTCAACTACTGAAATATAGTTTAGCTGCCATTCGCTTTTTAAATGTATTCCATCAGTTTTGGTCTATAATGTAAAATTGTTTTGTGAATCATTGTAGATAAAATAATCTCGGAATTATTTAATCAGTTCTAATGAATATTCTTTACTTATCTTATCAACACATTTTAGAAAACTTTCCCAATTATTTTCCAAAACTTTATAATTAAGACATTGTGATATTCTTTGACAGTTCAAAATTGTTTATTGTATTATGTACCATAGGGTGAATCCAAATGGTGTTGGTTGTGTTTGTCCAGATCAGAAAGTGTCGATTAGTACAAGAACAAGTGATCCGTTAAAATATATGTGTGATGGGAATTTGGGTAAGTTCGCAATATTTTTGTATAAATATCTCAAGTATGTAATTTGACCAAATAGTGATATATATGACCATGAATAATAGTCAAGTAACTGGCAATCTTGTTCTAACTTATTACTACGCTAATTTCTAAAGTGCTTGTTGTATTTATTTGCTTGAAATACATAAAACACATCCCAATCACCCTAGTTGACAAAGTAATATAACCGATTAACCGCTTTTCAAGGTACAGATGAAGACACTTACTTAATCATATATCTAAACAAGAGATTTACTCATACAAATCAAAATGATTAGAGATGGTTAAAAACAATATTGTTAGCTTAATAAAAACAGAACTTTCTAATATGATCTCATTTGTTAGATTTTATTAAAAGTTCTTATACACTACATTTTCATTCGTCTAGACTTCTAGAATACCTTGGATATTCTATTTTATCATGTAACGTTTTGATTGAATTTTCATGCAAACTATTAAAATGTTTACCATAGACTAAGAATAACAATGATAAAATAAATTGATTTTATGAATAAATCCACCAACAATTGAGTAGTTATTATTGAGCATTTATGGTCCTGCCTAAAGTTATTGCTATATTTAAGTTTTCAGAAACTAATATAATGTATCAAATAAAGTGTTATTATATTTAAGGTATCAAGAAAGGTATGGATTATATAGTTAAGCAGTTTCTCCGTGAATCTTCTAGTGAGTATTCACTTACGACATCAAACAGTATCGATCTTAGACCTGTCAGATTATGTGGTAACTAATCAGTGAGTCAAATTTTAATGTCATACATTTTTAGCCTAATTAGATTCTATGTTAAAAATAAGATTATATAATCCTTTACTAGATTTCTCATTACATATTTTCTTTTAATCAAGTTGATATTGGATCAGAATGTGATGATGAATCATTATTTTGTCGTTCAATCAATTCCATTTGCAAACCATTACAAGAAGAACTGTTACTATCCACTAACCAGTTGCATAGTATTAAAAGTAATCTGTGGTCAGAAAACTTTCCTAGTGGAGATCATTTACGCAGAAGTCAAATTATACGTACATGTCAGTGTAAACCAGGATATTTACCAGTATATCAAATTAATTTAAAGTATAATGAATGCTGTAAGTAAAAAAATCTGTTATTTGCTGATTATTACTATTATTATTATTATTTTATAAAAGAAACTGATCACAAATGTTTTAACCAAATAATAAGTAGTATCTAGTCTTTGTACTTAAGAATCAATGACCAGTTACTTTCTACATAGTTAAAAGTAAGTATTAATTTTCAAATTGATTCAATCTGAAATTAAGATATATAATATCATTATATTTTACTAAACCATGGTATCTTTCATAAGCAAATATGGATAGTGTCTAGTAGTGAATTAAAACCTTGTGAATTAAGGCAATATCGAGGCAATACGCACAGTATGCACATATGCTAAGAAGAGACTAATCAATTGCAGTCCTAAACATCAATGTGAGGATTCAAGTAAATTTATAGCATCTTTTACGTTATTAAATCTATATAAACCAATAAAACAAATGACTCATTCCTTTATAAATGTTTTTGTGAAACTCATTATTACAGAATATAACTCACAACAATATTCATAGGTAATATACATTCTTGTACCATACATAGGTAGTAGTGTGAAAATAATTCATGATTAAGTTTTGTTCTCTGAGCTGAACAAAAACTCCATTAAAATCATCCACCTGACCTACAAATCTTCTCCACCATCTCAAATTCATGATTAAACATAGAAAATTTCCCTTCAAAAAATATTTTATCCCACATACTAGTAACCAGGTTAATTAATATTTTTACTATAAGATAGAGGACTTTAAAATCTATCATTAACATCAAAAATAGAGTATGGTTTCAAATATAATTTTATTTCATGAGCAAACATTACGTCTGATAAAGGAAACACTGTCCGTAAGTACTATTGATATATTTATGATGTTTACTGTGTATGATAGAAGATTGATTCCGAATCCATTTAGGATAACTGTTTGTTTTATGTGGTACTCATAGTATTGTTGCATTATTATCCACTTACATTTTTTATTATGATGTTCATATATCTGTAACCAAAGTATATTATTGATTAGGTTAGATAAATAATTATTTTTGTCATGATTATATCTATTAGATGGAAAATTTACTGTATTAAGCTTAAAAAACTGACTTAGGTAAATTGTTATTCTAAACTAAAAATAACTATTATATATAACATTACTTTAGGAAATCCTTTGGTCGTTAATGTGAATAATGTCATGATATTTGAATGTTTATACGGATTATTTAATAATTTCAGCTTTTTTAACATTTCTCTTTCAAACTTGGCTATACTTAGAGATGTTTTTAGATCCTTCCATTCAGACGAAGTTAATTCGACTAGGGATATTATTAAAGATTGTGAAAGAAATGTAAATACATTACATACACCCCACTTAACAGAGATTACATCCTAATTCAGTTCTGAATAACAACAGTTAGATAATTTGAACTCTTACGATCAATAGTTTCATGAAGATTCTACTAATGTCCACACTTCTATAGAACACGTAACCACCATTTATAACAATTAGGATGGTTTTATGTAAAGTAAAAAACATATCAAAAAACGTTTTGTGCAAATTGCAGTTATTTAAACAGTTGAGATCATGAGTCAATTAAAGCTAGATCACCATGGAAAACCTGGAATCCCTGGACGGCCGTTTGGTCCTGTTGTGGGACTCATCAGCAGTGCACATCCACGACCCAACCTCGCAGGATTCGAACCCAGAACCCATCAGTCTCGCGCCAGGCACTTAACCAACTAGACCATTGAGGCGGCATCCAACGTCGGATGTGTCGCTCAATTTCGTGGATTAGTTGAAGTTAGACATTAACACCGTTGGATGCTGGCCGGCTCAATGGTCTGATGGTTAAGCCCTGGTGCGCGAGACCGATAGGTCCTGGGTTCGAATCCCGTGAGGTGCGGTCGTGGATGCGCACTGCTGAGGAGTCCCGCGATAGGACGAAACGGCCGTCCAGTGCTCTCAGGTTTTCCATGGTGGTCTAGATTTAATCGACTCATGATCTCAACTATTTAAATTTTAAAAAATATTTCAGTAATTTGTTTTAATTCCATCTAGTAGTTACATAACATGTATTTTAGAAATATTGTGCAGCTATATGAGAGAATCTGTAAAATAATTCATGTTTCACTCATTTTTTCATATTTTTAAAATTACACATATTGTTATTATCGTGTCTTAAGCTTTACTCTTTTGATTTATAGTTAAAATATTACCAATGAAAGCTAAACATTGTCAGAAATGTGTTGATACAGGTGGTCAATGTTATGATTTAAACGATGATGGAATAGGAGATGGTTGTGATTGTCCACCTAGTCTTTCATCTATTGTCTATGGAAAAGAAAACACAGAAATATATTGTGGAACAGTTCATGGTATGTCAATAATCAATAGTGATAATCAGAAAAATTAATTTATGCAATCATTTTAGTATATCTCTGAAGTAAATGTAGCCTCATATTAAATTATATTGTTAGCTATTTAAATACTAGTAATTACATATATCAGAACAAACTACATACGAGTAGATAAGCATATTTTACGAGATGATTATGTCATCATTAAATATCATAAGATATAAGTTAATAATACAACCAATTCATGTCTGTACATATTTTCTTTACGTGAATATGAATGTAAAACACAAGAAATAAGGCAGAGAACTGTGAAACTATTCCGTATGTTTTAAATATTTAATTGCTAAAGTTTAATTTACTTCAATTAATGCAAATTAAGCTAGTCAGTTAGCTCGGTAAATAAATATCAATAAATTGTATCAGGCATTTCTAGTAAGTAAGTGAAAATATTTTAATACATTCCAATTCGGTTGTGAATTCAGTATACAAGAAAGATGACTATACATAGGAATATATACAATATTAAAAGGTGTTAAAATCAACTGATCTAAGCCAACATTTCGTTTGTAATGTGAAAATTTTAAAGGTCATTTATTATGTTCAGAGAGGAGTTTTGTGGATCTCATAATAATTTAATAGTTGAACTCATGAGATAATTGAGGCTAGACCACCGTGAATAACCTGGAAGCACTAAACGGCCGTTTTGTCCTAGCACGAGACTCCTCAGTGATGCTCATCGACGATATTAGATCGATAACCGCACCAACAGAGTAATATTCTTCGCAGAAGAAATAGTTTTTGTAAATAAAGTTATCATCAGGATTTTAACTTGATTACGTAATCATATTACAGTGAAATGAAAAAAATGTTTTCATATGGAGCCTTTAACCACTTTTCATTATAGGAATAATTATGAATTATATAATATTAAAAGGGACTGATATAAAAGAAAGTCACTTTACAAACATTCATTTAAATAAATACAAAACAATGTCAACCAGGCACTTTATATTAGTTGCAATTATGATTATTTTAATTTTCATGTTCTAGTATCTGTCAACTGTACAAATGGATATTTATCTGTGTGCTATTATCCTCATACCTATGGACCATACAGCAGCTTGTTTGATGATTTGATAAATCACCGTTCTGTAGCCAGATTAGCATCCGATAATTATATGATAGATACACTACCTCTACAAATATCTGGTTTGTCCAGTGAAGCCAACAGGACATATCATTATTCAAATTTTCAAAATCTTTGTACACTCAAATCAGAGAACGATACAACAGATACTGAAAACACTTTCGTAACAGAATCAATATCATATGATAATTATCATTTACATGGGGCACATACAAAAAGATTCTGTTTGAATGTTGATGTTTGGCGAAAAAATGGACTGTGTGGTATTAGACTGTATAAACTTAGTGTAAGTAATTTCTTCATTTTTTTAAAGGACTGTAAAATTCTGAGTATGAACCTAATAACTTCATAAATGTATGCTTTATTACTCTTAAAAGTAAATGAATTGTAGCATGCACTGCTTAATGAAGTATATTTGGTGAGGTCATAAGAAAAATATATGAAATTTTATGAATGATGGATTTCAGTCATAAGCTGAGAATTTAGTTTTCTTCCGAACAAAACAATATTGAATCCATAAGAGGCTGTATATTGGTCTGAAATACTTCCTAGTATTTTGCTTGTGTTGATAATAACAAATATTTATAAAATTCATATTCACAATATAATATAATGTACTTACTTACGCCGGTTACCCTAAGTGGAGAAGCATAAGTCGCTCACTAACATTCTTCATCCAAATCTATCTTGAGCAATTTTTTCCAGTTCTTTTCAGTTGCTGTTCATCCTTTTTTTATCTGCCTTCCTCTTTTCTGGTTTCCTTCAGGACTCCGAGTAAGCGCTTGGCTCGTGATGTAGGTCGATGATCTTGTTAAAGTATGTCCTATTCACTTCCAACATCTTTTCCTAATTTCCTCTTCAGATGAAAGTTGGTTTGTTCTGTCCTACACAAGAGTGTTGCAGATGGTTTCCGGCCAACAGATATTGAGTATTTTGCGCAGACAACTGTTCATGAATACCCATACGCTTATAATGATGATGGTTGTGGTAGTTCTCCAAGGTTCAGATCTGTACAGTAGAACTGTCTTGATGTTCGCATTAAAGATTGTGACACTGATATTGGTAGATAGCTGTTTTGAGTTCCATATGTCCTTTGATTGTAGCAGTGCATCCATGCCTTTGCTAATCCTAGCATTCTCATCTACATCAGATCCTCCAAGTTTATCGATGATAATGTTTCCAGAGTTTCTCCATCAAGTGTGGTTGTATTTATGTTCCCCATGTTGTATTTGAGTATGTTGCTTTTCCCTTGTGTATGTTGAGGCCTACTGATGCAAAGACTGCTGTTACACCAGTTTTCTTGACCTGAATTTGTTCGTGTGTATGCGTTAGAAGGGCTAGATCATATGTGAAGTCCAAATCACCTAGTTGCATCCAATTTATCCAATGTATTCCATGCTTTGACTCAGATGTGAAGGTCTCCATAATCCAGTCAACCACCAGAGGAAAGAGAAAGGAGGAGAGTAAGTAGTTTTATCTGACCCTGATCCTTACTTGCAAAGTGTCTGCCAGCTATCCTTTATGTACGAATTGACAGTGTGATCATTCGTATGAATTACGGATGATGTTGACGATCTTATCAACTACAATTTCCACAGTGTTGAAGAAGGCTCTATAAGCACCTTCTATCCATACTGTCAAATGCTTTCTCATAGTCAAGGAAGTGAATTCTAATCAACTGATTTTCCAACTATGATCTGTAATATAATGTTTTGGAAGATAGAATCAATTAGTCACGAAGTTGATAAATTTAGAAATATGAATGAATGTATGAATGTTCTAGACATTATAGTGACTTTGCTAATATAAAAAAATCTTTATCAAAGAATCTTGTATTATAATAAAGTGTGGTGTATCCTACTTATGCCGACAGATATAAGTAGTATGTAGCCAAAATAGGACGTAGAGTGCCTAGGAGCAGAAAATCAAATTAAAGAGAACAGAGAAGAAATCGGAGAGGAATTAGGGAGTAATCGAGTATTTAAAAAACAACACAAAGATGATCAGATAATGTATTCAATGTATGATTTACATATTTTACTGACTGACTGTGTAATTTAGCATTAACCAATAAATTCGTTCCCTCCACCTGAGTTCTCGTTTACTACAAAAGTACTCATTAGTTTCTAATATAGTTGCTCACGAGTAATCGGATAAGTTAAAAATGGTTTTCATTCACTTAGAAACAAAGAATATTTGAGCAAATAATTATTTTCAATAAATTCGTTATTGCCTTCTACAGTTATAAGTCCATAATTATTGTGTTATTTTTGAAGGCTAAAATAAGACATGCTAGTGAATTAAACAATGTTATATGTTGAAAACTGTGAACTCTAGCATCTGTTATAACAAGAGTCCTTTAAAATTGTGTCGTTTTTAAATTAGGAAGAACATTATAAACAGATCAGAATGAACTGTTGTTAGGTGTCAAGTTATACTGAGTATAATAACAATCAAATGAATCGTGTATATGGCATACATACTGGGAAAACTTTGTCGGAGTACGATGATAACAATGATAACAATTTAGAAACATAATATATAATAGATCAGGTGTTTTCAAGGTAGTGATAAGAAATTCATGTGGATTGATAAAGATATGTCTTAAATGTCTCCTATTAACTCGGCGCCGAAATATTGTGAAAATATTCGTTCAAATTTAGACGAAAGTCCTTATTTAAAGATATGTATGGATTGAGAAAGAAGGCAGATATAAACACTGCAGGAACTGAAAAGAGAGTAAGGGAATTATAATGTTCAGTTTATATGTACCAAGATACAATCGTTTATCAAGATTTTCGATCAAGGAAAAACATCATAAATGGAACTTGTATATACTAGTGTAAACTAACTTTTTATTTTGTAAGTGCATAATATTCACTACTCATGTAATTGGATGTGAAATCTTCATTCAAATGACTACCACCGGAATTCGATGACTGGCATTATACACATTAAAGGATTTTTAATATTCTTGTCACTGTTCACCTGTTCTCATTCTTGTCCACTCTATAGAATTCGTTATTTATACACAATTGACGTCAGGAGACTACTCTTTGTATTGCTTGAAAGTTAGAGAGATAAAATATTATTTTAAATATTCGTAATGAAGTGAAATAGTAAAATTCAATACATAAAATCATCTGTAGCTCTAATTTGTGTGATACTGTAGAAGCAGCATCAAATGCAATGAACAAGAACACAAGTGGGGACAATCGAATGTATTTTAACACAAAATCACAAAAACGTCTTAGTAAAATCTGAGAGCCATGCAGTAAATACTTAATTTGCAATATGTCCATCAACTGTCTCAAACTTCATTGTTCTTCCATTTGTACACCAATCATTCTTCGTTCTCGTTCTTGATGGAGTTTTGTTCTCTGAGCTGGATGGCTCGGTCGTCGAGCTTTCATCGTTCTTCTGAACGACATCATCAACACAAACTTCAGAAGTGAAGTGTTCGAATTTCTCCATATGTGTTTCACAGCTTGTTCTGCACACCTCAACGTTGGCTGGTTCTTATTGACCTTAACCTTATCATTGTTTACTCCTTTGTTTTGGTTGTCTCCCGTTGGTTTGACTTTTGTTCCTATATTTGTGCATGATTTTCCTAATTGGTTGATAAATTGGATTGATTTCAATGTGCTTGTTGATTGCTGATTGACCTGAGTGCCAGGCTTCTAAAAATTCTCTGGTGTTTTTGGAATTTCCTCTGTCCAAGATTTCCACATATTTCCGGTCGGATGAGTGTCCGTAGTTGTCCACGTGTATTGATATAAGTGAGGAGTTATCATGGCGTTTGACTGCTAAATAATGTTCGTGTAGGCGTAGGTGGAGGGGGCGTCCGCTTTGTCCGATGTAGTGTTTTTCGCAGTTGGTACAATTTATTTTGTAGATGATGTTTGATTTGTCTTCCTTTGTTATTTCATCCTTTGGTTTGCATAGGATTGATTGTAGTGATTTTGTCGGTTCGTTCTCGTTTACTTCTTTTTTAATCTTCTTAACCATTTGCCACTAGGTATTTCGCTTTCAATTGATAATACATACTACTTATATCTATCAATATCAATAGCATACACCATAATAATACCATAAACTAGGCTATCATGCCTTAAGTGTCAAATATTTTTTGATACTTGTTTTAAATTGTTAAAAATAAAACAATCATCTTAGTTCTGTATAAGAAATAACACAAGATCTTATTCAATCTTTATAAACCATCTAATCTGAGTTACCTTTTTTTTCATCTAATCTCCCTTTTTGTTTTATTAATATAAACACAGTGATTGAAATATAATCATATATTTCTTTAAGAAATAAACATTAAATCAGATATAATTAACGATTATATAAAGTGAAATTTTTATGACTTTAAAATAAAGGGTTTCATTTCATTGAATTACCACTATCACTTAAAATAGAATAAAAAGGGTATCAATGAACACTTGGATATAAAATCGTACACACACGCACACACAATTATGTATATATATATACCAACATACAAACAGACCATAAACTAACTACAATTACAGTAATAATTATAATTTATTTGTCAAATTTAAACATAATTATAAGAGTTTCTAGGTTATTGTTGTTGTTGTTGTTTTTCCCTATCAACTTTAAGATATATAATGATAATTTATTTGACATTATTTTTGTTTATAAGAGAAATATTTTATACTAAGTGTTGAATTTATTATCACATAAAATGTGGATTTGTCTATAGAATGGTTTATAGTTACTAGGATGTTGGTTACTTCGTTAAAAATGAGCACATTTTCAAGTTTTCCATATATTTTCTAGATGAAAAATGGTCGATACCATTCAATTTGCACTAAATAAGGACTTGGCACACATGACATCGATCACCATACAGTGATCAATCAATTGTGATTACATCTCAGTCCTACAGGAGGTCGGTCGCTCAGTGGTAACGTCTCTGACTGTGAAGCTGGGTGACACGGGATCGGATCCGTCAGGGAGCATCAGTTCCCTCAGGATTACAGGTACACCTTGCTGACGAGTGCCAGGTAGCACGAAACCCGGGTCCAGGGTTTCCTGTCGACTACCTCCAACCACCATCTAATCTCACATATTTCTATGTTAATCACTCGAAATTTGATTAAAATGTAAATCGGATTATTTTTCTTACAATATTTATTAGGTAACCTCTAAACAATTAGCTTCATTCTATATCAATTAACCTATGAGAGTGAATATTCTGAAATGAAACCAAGTTATATATAAGAACTTCAGACTAATCCAAACTGTAAGAAACTATAAACAGTTAGATTGTTTAATATGAAGTACTCAATAAACAATACTGCTAAGCATAGGTTATTTAAGTAACTTTGGAATAGAAGATTTACTTTGTAAAAATCCACAGGGATTAACTTCTCTATAGTCTCTATATAAATAACGTGCACTATAGAAATGGTTATAGTCGGTTAGGAGTTCTATACTTGAACACCCAATCGACTATAACCATTCAGCAGATCCACAAATTAACTTTAAGGTTGTTTATACTATAGAAATGTCAAATTAATTATAGTCTTTCAATTGTTTCTTGATAATCAAACAAAAGACTGTACATGACACGACTACAGAAAAGAACAAACCTGACAAATAGGCAATACATTCGTTTCAGAAAAATACTTACTGTTGTAATGATGAACTATTAGTATATTTTTATTTATCATGCACAATACGTGAAAAGTGTGTTCATATTTAATAAAAATCTACGACACGCTGAAGTGAATTAATATAATTAAGAAGAGTTGATTAGTTTACCTGATGTTCCAGATACTGTGTACAATACATGACATGAAGCTATTCAGATTGTTTGAAATTCTAAAGTTTTTTTTCATAATTATCAATTTAAAGTAAATAATTCTTATATTAATGTTTTGACAGCATGATACCGTACAATATGAAGGAATTTTAGAAGTTCTTGTAAATACTTCAATACGTACTCCTAGCAGAGATAAAATTATTCCTATCAAATGCATCTCACGAATACCTAATAGGCCAATGAATAAAATTAGTGAGTAAGTGACTGAAAAATCTCTATGAAAATATTTTATCATTAATGGTTTCTATTATATGAGCCGTTAAATGTACATGACATGAATCCAATGAAAATTATAACAAAATTTTACAAGTTTTATGAATTTATCTTTGTATTTTTTCGCAACTAATCTTTGTCGGGTAAAAAGGAAAGACAGCTTGATTCATAAAGTTATTTGTCATAAGAACAATCTCATCTAATTTATTTGAAAGCTTTATTATTTATGTTTCATTGCTTTAATAATCAATGCCTTACATAATATTGATGTATTTGAATCAGTAATCGAAAATGAGTTCTGCTAAATTCAAACTCTATTAACATGATAAATTTTGTACAATTGATTGATTACAGAGAAGTGGTAAATGTCATTCATATTAATTCTCTCTTATTGTCAGTCGAATTCTATCTATCAAGTTGTAATGTGAACACTAGTATAAGTGACTCGAAATCGAGTACACATATAAGGTGGCAGTCAGAAGTAGTCGACAGGAAACCTTTTATCTAGGTCTCATGCTATTTGAGATTGTGAAGCTACGTGGCACGAGATTGAATTCACCGGGGAGCATTAGTTTACACGAGATCACAGGTACATCGTGATAACGAGTACCAAAAATCATGCAACCTAGGTCCAGGGTGTCCTGTTGGCTACCTCCAGCCACCACTTTACATAATACCATCATTACTTGATTATGAAATGTTTCTTTGGTGGAGAATACTGATATAAACAACGCGATAAACAGAGTTGCAAATTTTCACCTGATTAACCGTGTGCTGGCTCATCATAATTATTTTCGAAACATTACTGAAGTATTTGCATAACTGTAATGACTTAATGGCAGTCTTTCAAATGATGGCTAATGATAAAATTCGTAGTTGTGTCAGAGACGTCTTTATTTATCTTCAGTTTATGTTCATCAAGTGCTGAATAGTATAAATCCAAGTATTACACTGATATTGAATTTTATCTTTAAACGATTGGGGATTTCAAGATTTTCAAAGTTGCTTTGGAAAATATTTGTAATTCAAAAGTACTGTTCTTCGAGTTTTTCAAATCTCCCTACTTTAAAATCTGCCCTAGAAAATCATTAGCTTTTAAGCTATCATTTTCACTCCGTGGTTAAAAATAGAAGTCTGATGGCTTGTTTAGGTAACTTTCAGTCATTATATCTCAGATTCGGTTCCATCTCCCTTAAAATGGCATGAAATGTCGATTAAAAATATTAACCTTTACATAAAAAAAGTAATTCTAAACTAAGTTTATGATTCTGTCACTGACAAATTATTTGTATACAGCTACGAATCCAAGTTATCACTTATTAGAAGAAAATTCATCTAGAAGCGGTATGAAAACTATTTCACGCACACTACAGATTCGTTACAAATACCACTATTTAACGATTAAAGGCATATATCAACACATCAAGAGTTTTTCTGGCCTGATATTCTTGATTGTCATGAAAAAGTAAAAAATACAATAACTCTAATGATTGATTTTTAAAAAAAGAAAATTAAGAGAACACGACCCATATAGTTCGTCATCGTTTTTGATAATCAATGGAATTGATTCGAGTTTCACGTAGTGCATCAATTCACTTCAGATTCCAGATACGATTTCTTGATTAACGACAATTAGCGCAAAATGAAGGTTAAAGTATTCAAGATATCCTCAAATTAATATACATTATAATATGATTCACTAACAAAATAATTCTATTCGTTATTGGAATGTATACATTATCCATTATGATATATATATATATATATATATGTATATATGTATATATATATATATATATATATATATATATATATATATATATCAGCACAAATACACAGATCTACATGATGTCTTTAAACAAAGTATTTAGTAATTTCTATCGAATTCAGTATTATGAATTATTAACACTGTGTAGTTCATTACCTATAAAGTATAGAAGTCCTTATGCTTTGTGTATTTGTATCATTTTGTAACTCAATGTTTTATCTCTTTTCAAATACACACATTTATCATTTAAGTTTATCCTTAAATCCTTATTACTCAACAGTGATAGTTTTATAACGGAAATTTTATTCACTTCACTTGTAATATTATATAATATTCAAAATAGACCTTTTACATTTAAGTTACTTTTATTTGAATTCCATACAGTGGGAATCCACAAACATTTGGTACTATGAATCTAGCAAACACACCAACTCATCCTCAAATAAGTTTGCGTATATTGAATGAAAGAAATAAAGAAATTCTGTCAGCTTTTGTCGGTTCACATATACGCTTGGATGCCTTACTACGTAATCCCTCAGGCAAGTGTGATGAGACATATGTTTTCTCTTATATTTAATTACCTATAATTAAATCATTATTTAAAGTGTAGGTCAAACAGAATTGATGAATTAATCAGTCAGACTATATTTTAATAAACGAAAAATGTATATCCGCGTTTTATTGAAATTTTTATTTAGGAATATGAACTGAATAACTTTATATTTATTGAAATATTTTCAGTTATGTTTGTTTTTCAGCTAGTCTTATTCAGCGATCAATTTTATTTGGAGAAGCATAGAAAACCACGGTGACCTAAACATCTATTTCATCCTAGTTTGGAGACTTCTAATAGGACATACTCATGACAACCAAAACCTCTTTCTATTCTTGACTATCAGATGTCACTGTGAACAACATTGAGTTGTTAGTTGATACTTTATACATAAAACTCATGTTGATCTCTCAATACAATATAACATCAGCGGTGATACCTCGCCTCATTTATAAATCAACAAACAGTATTATTCGGTGTACTTCTAATTGTTATATATATAGTTTTGAAATTTGCATTAATGTATTAATGTATTGAATCGCATTGATGTATTAAATTAGATCCATAATTCTTTTTAAACGTATTAAACTTTAAAATTCAGTTTTTATTTAAATGACGTACATTTGTATAATCCGAACGATTAAAATCTAAATATTCCTAACATTTCACCTGGCACACGTCTTTAAGCATACGGTTAACTAATACTAATTCACTTTGCTTTTAAATGACAATTGGTGATAAAACTTGCATTCAAGTGTTTGAGTATTTGTTAACGATTTAAATGTAACACTTTTTCACGAAGGTTGATTATAACAAAAAGTTCATAAAATGTTAATGGGGAAAATGTTGGACTATTGAGATGATTTAAATGTAATTCTTATATATATACATATAACGACTTCTAAATAATTGGCGCCTAATTTCTGTTCAATTATTCATTTAGATTTTGACAAATGTTCATGTAATGAATATTTCGATTTGATTTTTTGACTCAAATCATCTATGATTCCGTCGATAGATAGAAAAAGTCCAAATGAATAACAAAAAGTACATTAAATCATATGAATTTATTCTAATAGATACAAGAAATTTTCTTTGACATTTGTTTCTTGCATATTCGACGAGTTTGTTTAATTATTCTATGAAGTATGAATGATTATTATAGACTACATTGTAGTTATACTTTGATTAAATTCATAACATTAATGGACTTACATTTTCAACTAGTCAAACAACGTATATCATTTCCTTTAGAACTTATTTCAATTATAAAATAGGTCTGAAATATTTATTTCCCTTAACAACTCTCTCTCTATACTATTCTTTCAATAATTTAAACGTATCTGAACAATTTAACGTTTATTAGAACAAGATTAAATCAGTATTTCAGGTAGAATAAATTTCGAGGGATTATTAAAAATAGCATAAATAATAACAATATCAATATGATATTAATTTGAACATTGTTAACTATCTAGATTCGATCACTTAGTTGACAGTACATTCAACATTTGAAATGAAAAGTACTAAAGTTAAATACTTGTATAAAAATCTACATTAAGATGTAGGTAAATCTAGTTGAAGATTACATTATTAGCTACAATCAATTTATTCTATAAAATAAATTAATTTCACTTATAAACAAATTCTAAGCAACATTATCATTGTAAACGACCATTTAAACAAAAAGATTTTGGTGGTGTTTTGTTCTTTGAGCTGGATGGTTTGGTCGTGGAGCTTTCATCATTCTTCTGAACGACATCATCAGCACAGAAATCAACAAAAGGATCACCCTACCATAGATAAAAGGCATATCAGAAACCGCGACGAAACTGCTGAAAACCAACGGGATAGGTGTGGCACACAAGCCGACAAAATCACTACAATCAATCCTATGCAAACCAAAGAATGAAATAACAAATAAAGACAAAACAAGCATCATCTACAAAATAAATTGTATGTGCTGATGATGTCGTTCAGAAGAACGAGGAAAGCTCCACGATCAAACCATCCAGCTCAGAGAACAAAACTCCATCAAAATCATCCACCTGAACTAAAAATCTTCTCCACCATCTTAAAAAATTTTTAATTGATTTTAAACAATAAAAGATTTTTATTTCATTCTAATCTTAAGTTACTAAGCTTCAATAAGTAATAATAATTTAATAAGAGGGTTTAACAAAAGTGTCACAAACAATCTCTACTTAATATTGTTTTTGTTTCTTTACATAATTAATACTTTAACAGAAATAATTAAAGTATGAATTACAGAATTGACAACATAATTTGACAAAGAAAAATTCTTTTTGTTTCTTTTTTAAGAAATATGATATCAAATTCTTTTTATTTTTCTTTATTTAATTATCATTCAAGGATCATATAAACATATTGCTGCTGAATATTGCTATGGTAACAATCGATCTCTACATTCTGATTATTTCTCAAGTGATATAGGCACTTTGCTTATTGATCACAGGTAATCATTTTATTTTAATTTTTTTTAGATTCATACTGTAAAATTATGATAAACAGTTACTGTACTTGATTGTATGTAATAAATTGTATTTTATACTGATTTATTATTGAAGGGTAATCAAAGCCGTATTCATTTAATCTTTAATGATTATTGAAATGTAAGGGATGAGAGGTTTAGGGCATTGTTTTAATATGAGGTGGTTATAAGCAACAGAATATCAGTCATGATCAAGGTTTTATTTTACCTGACAGTCCTGTAAAGTCTATCTAAAACACTGAAGAATTCAATACTCACTGAGATTGAGCCGTGTTCCAATTAGGTTCATGGCAATGTTTTTGAATATAAAATTAGATCCTGAGAGCATAAGTAGGATGAAACCTAGATTTATACTGTCCAATGTCTTTCTCCCAACAACATCTATTCCATAGACTAAATTTAAATTTTGTGTGTGCAAATATTTATTCACTCACCTTTTAGACCTTGTCTCTCAGAAAAACGTCTAAATGATTGACAAGTTATTGTAAAGCAAAATTCATTTATTGGTTTGTACAAAATCTTGTTGGATTTGGAATACTGTTGAAACCGTTCATGGAATAGTATATCGTCTTTTTAAATACTCTAACTTATTTACAATAAAAGTATGTTATGGTAGTTTAAACCAATTAAGCTCTGAATGTATCGCAACAATTAGAAAAATAGATTTTCAGAAAGAAGAATCTTCTCATACTTCTGATAATTTATTGGGACGTCTATTTTTCTACATAGATTAATCATTGATTATCTTACATAAACAGCTTATTAAACCGATTAGTATATAAATGCTTCACTGTATATTGCTTAATAAGCCAAGTTAATGTTTCTATATTATAGTGACTTAGGATAGAGTATAGCTAATTCAGAATATAGAGTTCCCCATACAATCCGTAATCGTTAACATCCAATAAGCTAAAATAAATCAAACTAATACTATGTAACTAAATAATATATACCTACATTGCTGATGCTCAAGTACTAAGAATGCTAAATTAAATCCCTCCATTGAGAAAGTTCATTTACTTCACCTATGATCCAATTAACAGTAATCATTTAATATCTAACACCATATGTAGAGAGAAAAGTTGATAGTCACTCGTTTCCCATTAATGGAATTGAATTGAGGTTAGCTGCTGATACATACCTTAAATGTAACGAAATACCTGAAATAATTAACAGGAAACCATTTCTGACCGTGACTTTGTGCTTACTGATGTCATTCATGCCCACTTACACTAACGAGGTCATATGTGTACCCTAAATGACTTAAAGCAATATTCTAAGAATCTCATTTCATTTTTATTTATAGTTCATTAAATAAATCTGCCATCAGGTCACATTTTAAATAGATGTTAGTCTTCTTAATGTATATCAATCAATATTTTGTCTCTTCGCTTCTATAAAATGTCAATGATAAGTAATAATTAAAAGTGAGCTTAAAAATATAGTGTTCTATAGGTTATATTTAAAACTTAGCTTCATATTTGATACAGTATGATCCCAAATACTCAAAATACATTCGTTATTTTAATAATCGATTACTGCATGTATTATTCTATGCTCATTAGTAGATCTGTTAAATCACAGTTATCTACGACATATTAAGAATATAAACCTAACTACTAATCATTGACTGGTATTTAAAAATGATTTATTTTCATTTATGATTGACCATATGATTCAATTCTATTAAGTTAAATTCTGTAAGTGTTCAAGAACAAGCGTAGTGGAGAACGATAAAATACAAACAGATATTTCACAATAAAACCAAATAATTTACAATGTTTTACAATACTCATATTTCAGATGTTTACATAAGAAACCGTTATTAACTGCCAAATTTTCAAGTATTGGTTTATTGAATGGGCATTTGCAAACAGAATTATTTCAAGCTTTTCGGCTGGGTAATATGACTTTAGTATTTTTTACTTGTGTATTCAGAATATGTCAATTACCTACAGACTGTGAACAGGTATGTCTGATTTCGTTATTTTTCTGCATGTATGGAAGTGCATTTTTCAAGTTTATTATTATCATTTAGTTAACAAATTTATATGCTATGTGGTTTCAATTTCATAATGACGTTATCAAAACAAATGGTAAGACATGACACACAAACATACTACTACATATTACAACGTACCGATTATTATGCATAGTAGACTGACTTCACGCAGTTTGTACCATAGTACTAACTGTTATTAAATAAAAATGCATTAAGTAATTAGACATTTTTCATTAGATAATTAACTTTTGAATGATATTTAAGGATGAATTAATTTTATATAAAATGTTCGATACTTATATGATATCATAAGGGGTTTTGTGGAGATTGTAGTAATTTCAAGATTTGAGATCATGAGTCAGTTGAAGCTAGACCACCATGAAAAATCTGGAAGCATTGAACGACCGTTTCGTCCTATTTTGGGACATCCACGTCCAGTGGTTAAGCGCGAGGCTGGGTCGTGGATGTGCACTGCTGAGGAGTCCTAAAATAAGACAAAACCGCCGTCTAGTGCTTCCAGGTTTTCCATGGTGGTCTAACTTATATAATACACTAAAATTGTTTTGATGAATTCACTTAGGCAATTATTTCCTTTTTATAAAATACTATCTCTTTCATGGTTGGACACAACAGAATTATCATCATGTTGCTGTTTTACAATTTAAAAGCAGTACTTTGTATGATATAAACCAAACTCATCAAAAAATATGTATACATTTTGTGAGATTAAAGGTTTATTAAGAAAATGAACTAAAGGCAAATTATTTCAGAGTGATTTATCTTACCCATAAAATTTTATACTACAGAAATATTACATATAACAAATCAATAGGCTGTTCAGTATAGAACAGAATCACCATAGAACTTAAGCATTATATTATGCAGATACTTGTATCTTTGTTAGCTTATGTAGGATTTTGTTGGATGACACTTTGAGGCGGCCAAATTAATGGTTCATAAAATTATCGACTACTGGTTTGAACTATGTAAGTAATTTCTGACTACTTAGTTAGGGTTCTCATGTTAACTACAATCATAGGTTGGAGACACTGAGTGACATGACTGAGAATCAGTCACTAGAATAGATGTATTCACTGTTTATATTCTTTTAGGTATTTTGTTTCAATATTCCTTCAAACACACCTTTTCATTCCGAGTTTTCAAACTATATTCTCACCGCTTAATCTTTCTCTCAGTCATTGCTAATACATTATTCCAGTTTCTTTGTCATTTCTTTTTAAATTCATCTATTCATTCTTACGTTAATAGACTGCAATCTGACCAAAAATTATATTAAATAGTCTGTTATTCTGCTAAGAACACATTTTGATAGGATCGTATATTTTCCCCAATAGTCTACCTTCTAACGAGTTGAAAAAAAACCCTCAGTCTATTATCTCTATTAAACCCAAATTGTACAATAATATATATACCTGTAAGTTTTATTCTAATATATTTGTTATTGTAAAAGATTTCTTAGTTATGATGAATTACGAAAAGATCAGTTAGTTTGTTAGCTTCTAAACTTAATAACAAAATAATAAATAATACTGATGATATATATTTTTTTTCTAAAAATTTATAGTCTAGTTAAACCTTTATATAAACAATCTATCCAAATTGTTACAAATGAAAAGGAACATATTTTTTTTTGAACAAAGAATACTTTTGTATATTGAAGAAATTAATGTTCTGGAAACATTTATTGTTTATTTGTTTATTTTTTTTTTATTTTTTTTAAAAATTCCGTTGGATACAAAAAAAACAGTATCCTGGAAAACAAAATAACTCATCATTAAATTGAATTTAGTTTATCATCGAATTAAATTCAATTGACGATTAATTTGAATTAAGAAAGAACAACAAAATGAATTATGTTTTTTTTAAAAAAATTTTCTTTCTTTTATTTTTCGACATTAAGCTACCATAATCCTTTTTTCATTTCAGACAATCATTTTGTTTGAATAAAATAAACAGTGAATTTTATTTTATTTTGTTTTGTAGCACAGAAAAATATAAGCAGTTTTTTGTATTCATGTATAGACATTTCTATGATAAAATAAGATTACATTCTTAGAAAGTAATGTTATTATATAGTCAATTGAAGCTAGATCACCATGGGAAACCTGGAAGCACTAGATGGACGTTTCGCTCCAGTATGAGACTCCTCAGCAGTGCGCATCCACAATCCTGCCCCCCTTCCGCGAGATTTGAACCATTAAACCACTGAGCCCGCCGGCATCCAACGGTGTTAATGTCTAACTTCAACCAGTCAACTGATTTTCTTATCGTTCTTTAATTATCAATATTTTGGATTACGGCTCAGTTGTCTAGAGGTTAAGCGTTCGTGAATGAGACCGAAGGTCCGGGGTTCGAATCTCGTGTGAGGGATAGTGAATGAGCACTACTGAGGAGTCTCATACTAGGATGAAAGAGCTATCCGATGCTACCACGATTTCTAGGGTGATCTAGCTTCAATCGACTCATGAATTCAACCATTAAATCAAGCAGATGAGGAATGTTTTCTAAATAATATTGTCTTAGTTAAAAAAATTTTAAATAATCTACATTTTCTGATTCAATTAGATATGAAAAGAAATAACGAAGTTTTAACAAAAGAAAAAATTGTGGATTTAGGTTTATTTAAATACAGTACATGTAGTTTCTGTTTTTTTCAATCTAAAACCCATCAACATGACATTTTAGAGTATTATGCATTAGATCAAAATGTGTTTCAATTTTCTTTCCTTAATGGTTGGTACAATTCATTTCGATGCACATTTGGGGTCGCATTGTAATTTTAATGAAATTGACCTTATTTAGAATAAAAAACTCAGTTGATGATGAAAGTTTGTGAACTGGGTTATGATTCATATTGTGTGGCAGCTAAAAATAATAATTTGTCTACTCAAAGTTCAAGTAATTTATATTGTGATCATATATATTAATTGATCAGAATGAGCTTAACCAAATATATTGTTCCAAGATCAACATATAGTTGATCAATTCAGTAAAAAACCATTGCAATAGAACATTATAAAGTCCATTAGTTTAATGATTTAAAAATAAAGAATCATTAGACGGTAACAACACATGGACTTTTTTTTACGAAATGTAGTTTCACTTGAACATTTACAAGTGAATCAAAGTATTCACTGTATTTTGTTTACGTGAGATCTTAATCTATTACTCTGTAAGCCACTGAAAATTTTAAATCTCTTCTGCATTTATATTCAATGGTATTTCTATGTCAGTATTTTTCTATCTTCTTAAATTGTAATGTATTCTACGTAAAAATGGTACAATGTCAATTCTAACGTACAGAAACCATACTAAATTGGAAAGTGAAATCAATACATATCTTCTATGCTCAGTAGATATATTAAATAATGAATTTTTTATATCTCGAAATGACTAATAGAATTTAGAATCTACACTATTGAGTAATAACTCGAAGAGTAAATTTTGTCACTACTATCCTGATAACTGAATTTTGTAGTTTCAATTTCATACAAAATGGACTTGCTGATCGCTTAGTCACAAACGATTAACTGAACAACTGTGTCGTTCAAGTATCGATTTTCTTATCAGTGCACATTCACAACCCTATCAGAGGTTGGACCCAAGACCTTAAGATCTCTCAAGGGGCGCTTAGTCTTTAAAAAGTTGCATAGGCATTATTGTAACTTAATTGAAGTTAAACACATAAATAGCTAGAAGACAGATCAGTTTTTCATGAGCTAAGCACTCGTTATGAGGTCATGGGTCGGATCTGTGTTGTTGTAGATGTGGACTATTGATGAATACTACTCTAAAACAGGATAGCTGTCAAGTGCTGTTGATTATTTAATAGTTGTTCCACTAAGATCAGTTCATGCTGCAAATTACGAAAACGAAATAATCTCTAAAAGCCAAAAAGCATTACTAATGATAAATTTGCTTTTATCAAACATTAGTTTATTCACATGGTTTTCCAAATAAAATAGTCTAAAACATCTCTAAGTCAGTAATCATGCATGTGATGCTTCAGTAGATCAAGCATAAAGACATTTTTATACCCTTCATCGAAATGTCATGGATAGGAAGAAATTGTCACGAGAGGTTTTCGAAAATACTCTTGAAGGAAAAGGTGTGTTTGATTTTTATTCAATTACACACATTTATAATACTGGATAAAACCAATTGATCTGTAGTCATGCTATAGCAACTCTTTTAAAATTGATTTCGATCATGGTTAAATTTGGATAAGCTTTTTTATTGACTTACTTAACAGACAATGTTATTCAAACAGTAATGATTCGCATTTTTCTTTGCACTATTATGATCACCATCTTTTCTGTATAAACGTGCACTCTTAATCACATATAACATCCTAAGCACATATTTCTCTCTAGCTAAAATGTTACTATCTTAAATACCGTTCGATGAGTCATTCTCCCAATCATTCTTCCCATGTATATATGTACTCGAATCCCATTATTAGCCTTTTCCTTGCCTCGTTGCGCCATATTCGATTTGACCATACACATATTCGTCTATATGCTTCAAATTCGCTCGATGTGCTTATAACCTTGTCGTCTGCGCTAACCGTTAATAAACTGTAGTCGCCGCTTCTTACTGCCTTCTTATTTTAAACACCGTCGAGATTTATATAATAACGGTTATCAAGGTGATTAATTAACGAAGCTAAGCCACTACGATGCTATATATTATTAAAATGACTTTAAAAATTGAATAAATGAAATTTACGATATAATTATATTTTATTCATCATATGTAACTATTAGAGTTCGAAAAAAAATACAAAACTCAGTTTCCAAACGCTTTAAAAATCGAATGATATTATGTAAACTGTAATCGAAATAATAAAGATGTATTATTCAGCAAAGGTGGTTATCAAGGAAAGAACAAGGTTCATGCTTCATCGAAAACCTAAAAGACATGCAAACGACTGAGTCACATCCCACTGCGTTTACTAATTTAAATGTGTGTATGGTTACACATACATAGGGAGGAGTAATAGTCATCTCAAAAATAGTGTATGTGAACGTGTGAACATGTTGCAGAAACAAATAGACTTAATAAGAGTAGAGGATAAACATCCATTATCCTCTACTGCCAAACACATAGTTGAAACAGGTCATAAAATTGATCTGAACTCGGCTTTTGTGGTGATGTACAAAAATGTAAAAGAGCGTATATTTCAAGGTTTATTGAAGCCTTACCCATATGAAAATTCAAACCCCTTATGTCTATTCTCACCTTAAACATACCCTGGTAATATTAGCATATTATCTAGAGTGATGAAGTTTCAAATTGTTTTAACACTTTCTTTATTATCCTTGTCTTCTCTTACCCTCCATTTGTAGACTAGTTAATCTTTTATATTTATATATATGAATGTTCGGATTGTTCGAAATGTATTGCACTAATATATCACATAGTTTTGATTATCTTCATCTTATTACACTATCAAATAATGTTGCTATGACACCAAAATAGCCCCCAAAATTGATTTTTTTTGCTTTCATATGATTCTAATTAACTTGAACTATCCTAAGGTTTGTCTAATAGTAATGACTCTACAATAGAAATTTCGGTAAAAAAGATTTATTGAAGAAAATCAACTTTCCTTAAACTAGTAATCATTATATGCAATTTCTCAGATTAATAACAATAAACATTTATATTGAATTAAATAATGATAGTTTAACTAATGAATAGAAAATTGGAAAGAAATTACAATTAAATAATCCATCTACCGCCATCATTTATTACTAGAGCATTGGGTAATATACATGAAATAAACATGGTTTTAAAAAATCCTAAAGAATATTAAATTTGTTATGGGAATAGGTAGATTTTATGTGCAATGTTTGCTCAGTAGACAAGAAGTTATACTATTTTTACTATTCTCTAAGTTATACCATTTTGCATAATATATTGTCAAATTATGTAATTACGTAGATACAATGTTTTCTAAACGTCTAGCTTAGTAAAATTGTATTTATCCGTTTTGTTTTTAGTAGAAAATGTTATCCATACGACAGAACAATGTATAGTAGTAGTTCACTGTTTTCATTCAACTGAAAGGTTTGAACATGTTATCATAATTAATTTAACAATAAAGATGTATAGACTTACGAGCAAAGATGGATAGTGTCTAGCAGTGGAATCCAGGACACGCGTTTCATCCTATCTAGGACTCGTCAGCTGGATGCCATTGCATCTCTGTGAACACTAAGTTACATTAAGGTACATTCAGCTAACGAGTCTCGAATAGAGTCCGCACAGGATGCACATATGCCAATAAGAGACTGATGAATTGCAGTCCTTAGTAACAATGGGAAGATACAAATAAACATCAAGTGAATATCTAGACTTACATATGTTAGAAACATTGGAATTAAAAATTAGATTATCATCCAAATAGTATAAATTGTGTTTTACTTTCATCAACTGAACGATTAACTAATCTCAGTCATTTAGAGAAAAACTTATGAATTTTCCGAAGTGATAATCCTAATCTGATACTTATAATCTTCAAAACAATCCGTATTTTTAAACTGATCAAATCTCTTATGACTGATAAACCTCTAATAGTATATTTGTCTAGTTTCTGTTCAGCAAATACAAAATAAACATCTATAATCAGAGAAAGGTTTTGCAAAGAATGTAGTAATTTAATAAGTGAATTCATGAGTCATTTGAAGCTAGACCATCATAGAGGACCTGGAAGCACTGATTGGTTGCTTCATCCTAGTATAAGACTCCTCAGCATTGCGCATCCACGATCCAGCCTCATGAGATTCGACCATCCAGTGCTTCCAGGTTTTCCATGGTGGTCTAGCTCCAATTGATCCATAAATACAATTATTAAATCAACATTTATGTATAAATAGTTTACTCTTAAAATATCGAATCTAATACGTTTCCCATTGTTATTAAACTTTAATTAGGTTAAAAGAAATATATGAATTAATCATCTTTTTATTCATCAACATCTTAATCATAGATCATAGTTATAGATCCAAATCATTTTTGATAATGAATCATTAGGTTTATGGTAAATACAATATACATTTGCAATTAGTAATAAAGTTGAAATTATTCATTCAAGGCTCGGTTGAAATAGAATAATAATAAAAATACATTTTAATGATGTAGATTAGAAACAATAATCATAATGTCATTTGTTATTAAATTAGAAATTAACTCAAAGATTACTACATTCATGAAATGATCTGAGCTGGCTAAGTGGATGTTAAATGGAATGAGTTATCAATAAATTGTCTATTTCGGTGGAGTTTTGTTCTCTGAGCTGGATGGTTTGGTCGTGGAGCTTTCATCGTCCTTCTGATGATGTCGTTCAGAAGGACGATGAAAGCTCCACGACCAAACCATCCAGCTCAGAGAACAAAACTCCACCAAAATCATCCACCTGAACTACAAATCTTCTCCACCATCTCATAAATTGTCTAATTCTATAGGAATAATTTTACTGCTAATAACCGAATCAAATTAGTTTAAGTTATAAAAGTATAATGGTGAATAATTGATTAAATTTATGACTTATGAAGTCTTAGGTTGGACAAAGAAAAACAAAAGGGTTAAGCATAAGATTTTAATTCATTGCCATAATGTTTTAATTTCTATAGTTATTGATTTCATCTAAAAATAAATGTATCAACAAAAGTGGGTGCTTGTAAACTAAGCTCCAACTGAGTAACATTCTGAACTTTTACATAAATTAAAAAAAAAAATTAAAACAGTTTTATATGAGTGGGGTTTATATAAATAGATTGAACTTATTATTGCCACATTTTGATATTTTAGACAAAGTGTAAAACAGATGATGGAGTACAAAAAATTCATCCAACCGAAATAAATGAAAAAGACAATATCATACCATTTCTAAGTCAAATTATAAATAATAATTCAAAGAATAACTACTTACATCATATCTACAAAGGTGACGGTTACTTTTTCCATGTTCAAGCATACGCTCATATTGAAGTAAATGAAAGACACCCTAAACGTGAGTTATTCATTTTTTTTTAAAAATTGTTTTTCATAAATTCTTTCTTTTGATCACTAAGAAAATCAATTTGTGTATTAAAAAGAAATGAATCTTAAAGAAACTTTCACGATTCACTGATTGAAAATTAAATATTGACCTGATAATAAATTGACTAAATATAATACTGATAGGATCTTTAATATACCATTTAACTATGTCATATAAGGTTTTAGGAAAAAAAAGATTCTTTCTTGAACTCATTAAATTGAAGTTATGTTATACTGAATATGATAACGTACATACTAGAATATATATTAAAAAGGTAACATATTCAAATCTAAGAAGTCAATAATTATGGATTTCTTGTTACATCCAGTGTTCAGATCATCACATGATCACTCCTTTTTGTTACGGATTTTTAAGCTTTATGAATAAACGTAAACGAGATTTCTCTTTTTCTTCTGGTTGATTGTCCTTAATTTCACTTCGCTTCCATGTACTCCAAGGTCATGACTCTTACTAATTCGTTCTATTCCAAGCTATTTTTCTTGAATATTAAATTTTTCTTACATTGCTTATTCTTTCTGTATCATTTGCTAATTGTTGAGACGCTTTGTACCATCTGTTGTTATTGAGTCTGCAATAGGATAACCCAATCGTTCTTTAATTTGCAAGCTTTGTAGGATAAACCAAATACACATTCATTTTTACCAAGAATAAACGTCTAGATAACGAGTTACTCAAAGGAGAATGGATATCAAGACTATATTTTCAAGTCTATAAACTCAAAAATGGAGCGGAGTAATTGTTCTTACCTCAATAACTTTAACTGAAAGTTTTGTTTCTAATAAACATATACTCTCTGAACGTGGTCATGGTAGGATTTTTCAAATCTTTTCAATTAATTAACGAACTATGTTATGATTTATTTGAAGTGACTTTAAATTTCCTTATTTCCCTGTTTGAATTCACAACTAGTAAAGTTCAATCTATTTGAAATTGAGAAAATTATTCACCTATATCACTTAATGAACTACTTGAATTTGTAAAAGTGAACAACTAGTTCCATAGACGATTTTTCAGAGATAACATGGTCGTTGCTAGATATAAAGATTCTAGGTTTGATCTCGCGTAAGCTGTTATAAAATACCTTTATCTGTAGTGTATCTCCGACTGATATCAGTTTGTGAAGAAAATGGTTTTTCAAATTACTCAATTTAATAGAAAATATCTACATCAATGTTAAAATTGAACACTAAGTAGTTTGAAAATAACATAAAAACAAAAACATTCAAAAAAAGAAAAGATATAATCACATGAGTTTCAGTTTACCAAATTATTAATAAATTATATCACTTTTCTTTTTGGAAGACGGACAATAAAACACAAACACATCTCCAAGTTATCTTAGAAAAACTGATGTAAAAAGATGATGTTTGAAGGAAAGACAATAAACTACTTATATATCTTGGCAATATGAAATAATAACTTTAAGAATTTATCTCCATGTAATCACAACAATTAACAGGAAACAATTCCAATTGTATATATGAGCATTTGTGTTAAGATGTTGCTTAATGTTACATCAATCTTACTTAATAGAATATATTATTGGTTAAATATAACTTCATTTATTTTAATTATAAACATTCATAAATATTTGTTTATCTATGCATGATGATATTTGTTGATAAAAATGATGTAGCCATGTACTCATTATTAATGACAGAATTTGTAAAACAATAAAAATTCGAGGTGGTGAAGAAGATTTGTAGCTCAGGTGGATCATTAGCACAAACTACTATCTGAAGTTTGTGCTGATAATTTCGTTCAGAAGAACGATGAAAACTCCACGACCAAACCATCCAGCTCAGAGAACAAAACTCCATCACAATAAACATTCACTCAATCTACACCTAAAATAGTTTTAATTGGTCTTAGTCACACATTTTAACTGACATATTATTCTGACATCATTTATATTGAATTTACTTCGTACCATGTTTTAGTTATGAATAAGATCTATCTAAATTATAATTTACGTGGTACATTAGTATATCAGTGGTCAATGTCAGTATATTCACATATCACAAACGTTTTCTAGAGTACGCTGAGTTAGGCATTTGTGGGTCAACTCAATTGCATTAGTTATTTAAATCCTCCTATTAACATTAATAACCGCAGTTAATCTATCATTTTTGCCATATGTTCATTTTGTGTGAATCGCCTCGATATTATCATTAAGTCATAAAGATTATGAGCGGAGTTGGATGTTGCCTGGTGGTGTTTGAAGCGAGCAGTGTTGGGTTCAAATCCAGGAATCCATATCAAATTTTAGGTGGAGTTATATCTAGCTGACGTATCACAAATAAGACAATGCGTGTATCCTAGATTCCACTGCTAGCCGGTATTCAACTCTATTTATGTATCAGCGTTTCATTAGTTAGTATCTGAACTTTTCAGCGTGTACAAGAAAACAATAGTACTTTTGATATATCCTTACTAGGCTTTACTTTAATGTGTGATAATACTCATATGGGTAAATGAAAAATACTATACCAATCTAGGTAGTTTGTGGGTCGATGATGGCAACCAAATAGACTTCATAAATAAACATATTTAGCAAAATGTGCCAGTCGAGTTTGACTTAGTAAGTGTTGGAATAATAAGACCGATAATGACTTGTATCAATGTCTTAACGTAGAAAGTAGATCAAATCTGGAACATAGTAGAAAATATATAACCAGAATTAAAAAGTAATAAAATTGCTTAGTTTAGAGCTCAAATAATTGGATTGTTAAAAGCATATACGAAAAAAGAAGGAAAAAAACAAATGCACAAATGATTTAGAAAATATTAGTTATGAAAAACTTAAGCCTTATGCGGCCAGGGAAACGGCAGTGTAACATATTTCTCCCGAATACATAAACTAAGACAATTCACATCAGTTTACCTCTTCAGTATGTATCTACAAACTTAGCTGCTCCTGCGGCGACAACTATATTGAATCAACTACCAGTTAGCAACCAACGAATGAGTGAATATTATAAAACAAGATTTATTACAGTACCAATCTGTTCAAGGAAGCTTTCAGATATTCTAGAGGATTTTTAAATGTCTATTAAAGATATAACATTGTTACAATTAACAAACAAGAAACCTCAGACCTACCTAAAATATTGGATGTTTACTTTACTAGTATTTTTAAAGCACGATAAAATTCGCCGTTTTTTGAAACATTAAACATGTAGTAGTGTGGTTTATGCTACTTATGTCGACATAAGCAGTATGTAACACTAATCAGAAGTGGAGTGCCTGGCAGCAAAAGGTTGGGCAGATCTCAATAAAGAAGACTCGAACAGATTAATTGTTATGATAATGAAGGAACGATGAAGTTTGAGACAATCGGTGGAGAATTTTCAAATGAAGTAATGAACGTGTGGTTTTCACATTCGACAAAAGAACTCTGTAATTTTATATTAAAACATAATTGGTTGCTCCCACCTATGTTCTTGACCATTACAATAGGCTTGAAAAATATGTTAATCAGGATTGTAAAGTTCCATAAGTAATTTAGTTTTGTTCTTCACAACTTAAAATGTTTCTATGGTCCAACTGAAAATTCGACTCAAGAGCATAACTGGTTGTTACTAACTACACTTCATTTTATCAAATATGAAATAATTTTTACAGTCATTACAAAACCCTAAGCTTTTACGATATCTATATTTAATATAAGTAAACAAATAGATGTAATTCACTTGGTATTGTTTGAAACGAATGGTACCGGGTTCGAGTCCCAAAATAAACATCAACTCTGAGATGCAGGTACATCCAGCCGATGAGTCTGAACGAAACGCGCGTCCTCGATTCCACTGCCGGCCACTAACCATCTATGCTTATTAAAATAGATGTAATGTCTAATGCTTAATTCTTGTCGATTTTCAGCGCAACATTTTTGTTTCTTTTTCTCTTAAATTTAACAATGAATTATAGTAACATATAGTACTAATAACAATGGATTAAATCCAAATTATTTAATATCAAATCATCAATTAGATATGAAAACCACTTCATCATTACAATCAACACGTGATCGATCATTATGTAATTATACTTTATGTTTAACAACAATTCATTTAAGTTGGATATTACTTGGATTATTTATACTACTTATTTTATTCTGTATCACTTTAATAATAATTTATCGTAAATATCGATTGTTTTTACAAAGAAGAACATTGAATCTTCTTGGAAAACATCAACAACAAAATCAATCTATAAAAAAATCATTATCAATTTTAGCAAAAAATGATTATAGTGAACATTCAAGTCCATCAAGAATATATAATCAAGAATATTATCAACCTAATTATTTATTAAATCCAGATTTACCATTTAATTCAACATTATTAACTACAGATAATTTAGATATGAAATCATCTTTTCAATTAAATCCATTAACACCTTCATCGATTATATCATCAAGTTCAATTCAATCTGTATTATCACTACCTCCATTATTAACTACATGTACAATTGGATCATTAAATCATTTAAATGGGAAATTAAATATCTGTGAACCAACTTATTCTACAAATAATAATAATAATATGACATTAATTTTAAAAAATTCTGATACATCTAAACATGAAACAATCCTTTGTGATAATTCAGATCTATTTTATCATACAATATCTTCAACAAATTTAGATCCTTCTAAAACATTACATTCTACAACAATGATACCGACATCAATTACACAAAATTGTTATTGTCAAAGTATGAATTATTCACATTGTCCATTCTCATCATTTATACAACCTAATTATGTAAATAATAATGAATATATAAAGACAATATCATCAGATGATTGTTTCATGAATTCATCATATATTTTAAATGAAGATTTATTACAAACACCTAATTGTGTTAAATTACATAATAATAAACAATGTTTAAATAATACAGATATGATTGATTTGTATCCTAGTACACATGATTTAAGTAATAAGGAATTATTTTGTATACAAAATATTCAATCAAAATTACTTCATGATAAAAATGAAGAAGAGAAGGGTTTATGTACAACTTCAATATTACCAAATGTTACATGTTCTATACCAAGTATATCAACCGGTAAATATTTTTATTCATTTCATAAACCTAAAAAAATTAATAATTCTGTTGTATGTAATAGTAAATTATTGGATATAAAAACATTGAAAGATCATTCAAAATTATATGGTGGAAGTTTTAAAACTAAAAATTCTTCTGTAACACATTTAACATCTGATAAACATCACCATCAACATCATAATCATCATCATGAACTACAATGTTCAGGTTCTATGATTATTAGTAATAATAACAGTACAAATGTGCAAACAGCAAACGTCTGTGATTAACACTTGCTTTTTTCGTTAGTAAGTTACTTTGTACAGATAGTTACAAAATATATATATATTTATAAACTGATGTGTATTTTGTACTGTTCTTTCAAAAAACGGTTATCAGACTAACAATTTATGAATACAGAATCAATTCGTCAAAGACTTTTCACGATAAAATGACATCCCTTGTCTCTTATCCTAAATTATTGCTTTTCTAGTCAAACTTGTAATTTTGTCACAGACAATGGACTGCTGTCCTTAAGAAATACATAGTATATTTTTACTTGACTAGGATGTTTATCTCTGTGAGAAACGGTTTTTAAGTCAGTCATTTTTATGAAATATAACTTGAAATTTCTTATGATTTTTTCTAGACTGTGTTTAGACCATCTGTGATAGAACTGCCTAATGAAGCTGAGGTTATACTTTTCAGTTATGAACTGGTGACGGTAGTTTTGGTATCCCGAAGCTAAAACTGTTTAGACCTATATAATTAGATAACTCAAATTTTGTCTCATATATTGTAACTCGTTAACTGCCACAACGGTTGTTGAGGTTGTCCTCAAATATTACTACTACTGTGATGTATAAATCAAATGTCTATGTTTTGTTAGTTCATTTGACGCACACTAGGAATGGTTCTATCTATCTATCTATCGACCACAAGTTCATTTCTTGGTTTGAAGATTAAATTGCCAGATCAAATGATTTTATTGGTTAATACTGAAATTACTTCTAACATATCTAAGACCTCTCGCATTTGTGATGTAAAAAATAACAGAAGTCATATGAATTTAGTTACCAAAAAATGGGCTGGAATTGTGTTTTCTATATCTGAATCCTCTTAGAGACATACTTAGTGTAATAAATGTGTTATGCCAATTACACTGTTGATTGTAGCTCTCCATATGTAATCCTATATATGAATTATGAATAATGTCAACAAGCATACACTACTGAAATGTTTTGATAGCTTAGAATGAACATAAGCTGAAAATATATTCTTTGAGGTTGTTGATAAAGAAATTGTATATTCAATTGTTGTTAGCATAACTGATCAAATCCGAATTTCAAGCTTCATAACTTAGGCTGTTAAATAGGCAGAAGTACGATACACAGGTAAACTCTGCCATCTATGGAGTATTAAATATTATGAGACATGAATGATGTTCATGGGTGAAACTAACCACAAGATAATTATTTACCAACCATTTTTATATACCCTATTAATTTTGTTTCAGAATTTAATATTAGTATTTTCTCGAGAAGTAAAATCGTTATCATTCAAATTGGGATTTACATAACCTTGAGAGTATAGTTGGTGACAATCACTATATGATGCACTAGACATTTTCACAAACTTCAAAAAAAGTTCACTTGTAGCATCAAAATTAGTTCAAATAGCCCTCAATTCATGGAATGGGAATTTTAACAGCCGTATACGTTCTATTATCAGACTTAATTTACTAATCTTCAGAAGTAAATGATCACCAAAAGCAATACGATAATTGTCTTCAAAACTATATTTCGTGGCATGCTTGAGGATTCATGCTCGTAATCTTTGATTTTATGACCATTTGATCGAATAATCTTGTGGGAATTCGCTCTTTTGTTTTTATTCAAAGTAGCGGCTATGATACAATTGATTAGTAGACTTTCTGAAATTTTAATGAGTTGACGAAATGAGTTTATTAGGAAAAGCGATGGTTTTCATAACACTGTGGACGTCTTTTCGGGATAATAACTTAGAGTGACTCTCAATATTGTCTTCTATGACAGCTTTTTCTTCATAAATCAAATTTCAAAATCAAAGCAGATAATCTTCAAATATATGACCACTTGAGTTCTGAATTCTATTCTCTTGTATGAGATTCCATTGAAATGACAAATACATTAAATAGAAGTTTTGTATGTATTCTACGAAATATGAATCCACTGTAGTAGCTTATAATGGACTAACAAGTAAAAATTAGAAAATGAACCTATGTGCACCGAAATTTAATGTATTGAAATATGTGTATAATAAATACAAGCTCTTGCGAACCGCTTATCCCTTTATAAAGATATTACACTATGTTCCTCGAAGTTCATTGATCATTCATCGAGATATCGCCGATATTGCTGAAAAACGTTCGATTAGGTGTATCAGAAATAATTATTATTACTAATTGTTTTTGGAAGTTAAAACAAGCTTGAATAGCTGAGAGAGTAATTACGAATAATATGTGTGTTTTAGGATGTTTTGATTTGCTAACTAACATTCAAATACAAATTCCAGGTTCATTTAGATTCTTTTTATTAATATCTGGAAGTAATTTGGAAAAATAATATAACCATGGAATGTATGACAGAATTTTCAGAAAAACCTCGTTTCTTTCATTAGCACAAGCTAAAAATATATTTATTGAATCCATAACTCAACTTTTTATTTATCGATATCAGATTAAAGTGATTGCATTATATTTGATAGATGTTTGTTTGTAAACTGATAACTGGTTTCCAACACAAAAATGTAAAAATTAAATGGAAATGGTCCAAATGATGTGTACAGAATGGAATTGCTCCTTACTAGTAGGGGTGAAAATTTTCATTCAAAATTCATAAATGAATATATATTGATTTTCATGGACTGATTTAATATTGAACTCTAAAGAAAATTTGTTGTAGATTTCAGAGAGCGTAACTTGGAACGGATCTTTTCACCGACATAGGAAAAGTGTCACGTCTAGGAAAATTCGAAAGCTTAGTTACAAAATTAGTTTTTATGCAAGTCAGTGGTGTTTGTTGTATTCGGGTTTCCGTTACCCAGAGAACTGAAACAGAACTAAATATCTTTAACTAATGTTTGCTACCTCCTTGAAAATAGCTTTATTGGGTCAATTAAATTAACATAGCAAATGTAGAACTCTACTAACAAAAACCTCGAGTTAATAGGTACCCCCTGAAATTTTCGTTCTCGGTATATGCAGATTTTCAGAGATTGTAGAATTCTCGTTCTTTAAATCATAAACTAATCTTACTTAAATCATCACTAATAACCTGAAAGCACTAGACGTCCGTTTTGCCTGTATATGGAACTCCTCAATAGTGCTCATCCACGAACTCGTATCCGGACAGTGAACCCAGGATTCTCGGTTTCACGCGTGAACACATAGCCTCTAGACCAATGAGCTGGTATCTAGCAGTGCTAATGTCTAACTCTAGTGATCCCGGTTTTATATATATACGAATACATAGTTCTTTTAAGAATATTCACTTGAAAAATACCTCAAATCCATTATCAGTTCTTCTCTAATACAATAATGTGTAGAGTTATTCCAGCAAACAAATCCAAACTGAGTTAAGTATAGATCGTTAATTCTGATGTAAATACCAGCGTATAATTAACTGAAAACAGTTATTGACAATAATTTATTGAAAAACAGATAATAAAACAAAATACAAAGTCTTTTGCGATGACTTAATGAATCAAACCTGAACATTATGAATTTTATCCATTATGTATTATTGTAATTTTTATTTTAACTAAGGGGAGTTGCGGATGATATGATATTTTTAACGGTTGAGTTCACGCTTGACCTAAGCTAAATCATCATTGAAAACCTGGAAGTACTGATTGGCGGTTCCGTCCTAGTATGGAACTACTCAGCAGTGCGCGCTCACGATCCCGCGCACCGAACATGAACCCAGGACCATCGATGTTGCGCGTGAACAGTTAAACTCTAGATCAATGACCCGGCATCTCATGGTGTTAATGTTTAACCTCAGTTGATCCATGATTTCCTGCTACCCTTCATCCATTATCCGTAGTAGATGCCTACCTCTACCCGACACGGATCGGACTCCACTGGCCATTGCTTCTCACTAGACCTCCAGGAAGTCTATCCTGAAGCTAGTCACTAGTTCGCGCACGGGAAGGGCTTTGAGCTCGAATCCTGCGCGCAGAATCGTGGATGAGCATCGGTGAGGAATCCTATACTATGACGAAACGGCTGTTCAGTTCTTCCTGGTTTTCAACGGTAGTCTAGCTTATATCGATTCGTGAATTCAACGGTCGAAATCTTTTAATTTTGTATGACAGTTCTACACAGAAATACGTGTTTGTACATATCATATTCCATGATATATATTGAATTCTAATTCAATGCAGATAGTTTTTTATTATGTGCTTCCCATAGAAATTCAGTTACCATTTGTATTTTATTATCGACAGTGCTATCAATTTACTGTATTATTATGAATTTGTCTTAAGAGTTCTCGAAATAGGTACACTGTTTGCTGAAACCTGTTTTAAATGTATTATTTGATTTATTAATATACTATTTAGGAAACACGGAAATTGCATTATATCATTGATAATTAAAGTTTCTACACTTAAAATAAAACTCCATAGTGAAAACGTTTAAGACAACAGTGCAAACAACTTACCAAGTTTCACTTTACTTTCTTATGTTATGAGTTGACAAGCCAGACATCTTTTTATATCATTTTTCACATTACATTTTTTACACAAATACCCTTCATTGTATTTCTTGTCAAAGGCTTAAATAGCTTGTAATTATCAGTAGACAAACATATATTTGTATTCATAAAACAGTACTTCTATTATTTCTCTATCTGAAACTACGGATAAACATCAGTTTCCGCAGTGATTATCATTACTTCACTTTTTCTTAACAATTATTATATTATGAATTAGATGAAATGACGTCTTATTTTGTAATTGTGACTTAATAGAATGACACATGTTAAACACTCTGATAATTCATGACATATTACAACCAATGTTAATAACATTTCCAAGGTATACATAACATATATAGCGAATATGTAATTGAAACGGGGCAAAAAATTGATATTATTAAAGCTTTTAAAACGTTATGTAGAAATCGCCAAGAATAAATTCTCAGGTTTATTGCAGCCTTGGCTATTCGTAAATTTAAATCACGCTTATAAGTACAAAAACAATTTGTAGTAACCCTGAATTTGCCCTGATAATCCTTATGTCATTCTATGACCTTGGATAAAGTGACAATTCCGTATTCTTTCTATACAATGAAAGATTGTTTCTCTCACCTTTGTTACCCTTTTTATTTGAACTTTCATTTAATTAACATATAATTTATGACGTTTCCAAATGTTTGTAAATGATTTTGATTTTAAAGTAAAGATAAAAAGTTAAAGGAAAACTGTTATTTTTGATTGACTCCTCTTTACATTTATATTACTGTTGTAAAGATATAGTATTGTGATGTTTGTATGAACTAATGACTGCCTGATTTCGAATTTTGAATACAATATGTTCATTAATGCTCATCTAGTTTTTCTTGGTCTTAACTACATTATTTCTGGGATACCTAGTTAGTACAACCATTCGCATACTTCTGATTATCACAAATATACAAGATATTCAACTTGGAGATTTATAAAAGAATATTT